CTTTCTTTTATTTATACTTTTAAGATCCACTCTTATCTTGTTCCCTTTATTTTTTATTTTTTATTTTTTTATTTTTTTCTTTTCACCCCTTTTACATCACCCATGTTCACCAGACACGGGCTCTCTCTCTCTTCACGGACACATCCCATTCTTCTTTTTTTATTTACTCCCACCCACTGAGCTTATCACCTCCATGTGCACTTGTTTTTTTTTTTTTTTTAATTTTACTTTTTGACAGATTCCTGGCTTGCAAAAAAGAGCCACCTTTTATTTTTTTTATTATTCACACAACACATCATTCCACCACCTTCCCTTTTTTTTTTTTTCTACATCATATTTTTTCCACCGCCCACTCCATGATACCTATTTTTTATTATTATTATTATTCTTATTATTCTTCTTCTTCAACCAAAAAAAAAAAAAAAAAAAAAAAAAAAAAAAAAAAAAAAAAAACAAAAACAAAAAACAAAAAAAAAAAAACCAAACCCCATTGCAAACAATTTACAAATTTGCACCACCACTCATATTTTATTCATCTTAGGGCACAACCCCGATCACACTTTTACAAAAAAAAAAAAAAAAAAAAAAAAAAAAAAAAAAAAAAAAAAAAAAAATCTCACCTATCTGACCTATGTGTGTAGGTGAAAAAGTAATTAAAGGCATCATGTTTCAGATTTGTATGTATTTATATATTTGACGTGAATATTTGCATGCTTTAGACCTTCTAAAGGAGGTATGTAGTGTCAAGATCATTGTATATAGTTTGTTTCAAACATAATATGTAACTTTTCTTTCTGCTTAAGTTGTACTCCTTTTGTGATTAAGCTAGGATGGCTGTAAAAGAAAATATTGAAGTGTTTTCACTACATTTATTTTTTGCACATGCTCTGAATGGATGTTATGGGACAAACAAATTAAAGGAATTGAAAGCTTCCGCTATCTAAACAAATTTTACCACATATAGGAGTACATGTTTGTCCAGTTAGGCCTTTGCTAGTTTATGATCACTGGCAGGTCACTACTTGTCTCAGTTTGGATTGAGATAGGGTTGTGACAAGATGGGTGCCTCACACCTTCCCATCTCATACCCTAGCCCCCGAAGTCAGTCTTCAACGGCTTTTTTAAAATAATAATGCATTATTTTTTTAGTCAATTTTGGGTTCTTGGAGATACACTAAACAAAATAACCTGTCTTCTACATCGGTCTGACACCGCCATCCAGTGTCCTCTACACCGTTATGACACCACCATACAGTGTCCTCTACATGGTTATGACACCCCCATACAGTTCCTCTACAACGTTATGACACCACCATCCAGTGTCTTCACCAATGGTCTGACACGACCATACTGTGTCTCTTATCCTCTTTTATTTTTATGTATTTTCTTGTTTTGTTACTCTCTCCAAACTCAAGTTGGTTAGTTCCTATCCCCCTTGAGTTTGTGGGGGGCTGTTAAAATTCACATACTACACACCTACCACTACCACCTACTACACACTCACATACTTCACCTACTCTCCACCTACTCCTCACCTACTCCATACCTACTACACACTCACCTATTCTCTTCCCACATCCTCTCTTCTATATATAGGAATCATTGTAATATATCAATAAATCAATCAATAATACATCAATTTTAACACATCTGCAAATTGCCTCAAGACTTTCTTGATTATGGCTAGGACAGGAGTAGATTCAAGAGCTTCATTCAACTTCAATGCGGCAACCCAAGTTTGCTCACCATGCCTAACACCCCTCTTGAGTTGCATAGCTGACACAAACATGTCACTGTTGTTGATGGCCATAGCATGAATGAGACATGGCTTATCCCCCATGACACACATACTATTAGAATAAGGCATGACTGCCGTCTTTGTGCTTCTCAAGAAATCCAACCCAAGGATGGCTTGGAAGTCATCCATGGGTACTGCGGTGAAATCTACTCTTCCTTTCCAAGTGCTGACCTTCAAATGAACAGATTTCGCAACCCCATAGATAGGCTGCGCTGCCGAGTTAACCGCCTTGATGCGGCTGCCATCCTTCTCTAAAGATAGCCCAAGTCTTTCAACTTCAGTCCCCGCAACAAAGTTGTGGGTGGCCCCGGTGTCAATCAAAGCACGGAGGGGCTTCCCATTGAGTTTTACAACCACAAACATCAAACCTTTGTTGGATGACTTACTCTTGTTCAACTTGCCTGATGATTCCCCACTATACATGGGTTTCTTCCCTTTGCCTTCATCTTTAGACTCCACAAGTTGTTTGGGATCCGAATGTGCCCACTTTGCCACTCTTGGCATTCTTCTTTGGCCTCCCTGTAGAAGCCTTCTTCTCCATGGCATTCGTCATATGAAAGGCTCCCACTCTAGAGCCAGCTGCCTTCGACCCCTTGCCACTTCGCCTAGACTGCACGTCTTCTTCCTCACTATCATCATCACTTAGTTGAGAGACATGGTCAGACACAGCTGCAAAAGCATTCAAGGCACGCTGTTGTGGACATTCAGATAACCGATGTGGCTCATTGCATAAGAAACAAGAGATAGGGCCTGTTGTTTTGCTTGTAGAGACTTGTTGAGGGGCTTTTGCCTTGTCACCATAGCTCTTCTGTTGCCATTGTCTGCCACCTGAATGGGTTTTGGATGTAGAAGTGTTTGCTCCCCCCCTCTTAGGTTTTCCATAGCCTTGGGACTTTCCACCTCCCTTACTCTTGCGCGGGGAACCACTATCCCGTTGCTTAGGTTCGGTGTAGTCTGTAAGGCGTTCAGCTGCAGCTTGTGCATGGGCTAAATCTTGCACTCTTTGCCTTTGAAGTTCAACTCTGGCCCATGGCTTCAATCCCTTAAGAAAGAAGAAGAGCTTGTCTTTCTCTGATATGTCTTTGATGTCTAGCATAAGCCCAGAGAATTGTTTCACATAATCTCTTATAGTGCCGGTGTGCTTGAGATCCTGCAAAGCATGCCAGGCATTATACTCAACATTTTCGGGGAAGAATTGGAGCTTAAGTTCATGCTTAAGTTGCTCCCAAGTCTCAATTGTGCATAAGCTGCGTTGCATCTCATCATGTTTAGTCCGCCACCACAACTTGGCATCACCGGACAAATACATTGTGGCCATAGAAATCCTTGTCTCCTCAGCATCGGCTTTCACAGCTTTGAAATATTGTTCCATATCAAAGAGAAAGTTGTGTAACTCCTTGGCATCTCGGGCGCCACCATAGGCACGGGGCTCGGGCACACGCGCCCTAGTAAATTCCATGCCACCACTAGGTACATTGCCAAAGGCACGGGTAAGAACACCAACCCGGCCACTGAGGTCTTCAATCTCTAGCCTGAGTTCAGTGACAGCATCCTCAAAATCTTGCCCTTGAGTAGAGCCATGAGTTTGCTCAAGATCATGAACCCGTTGTTAAAGGGTAGCCAATAAAGCTGCCATGGCCTCCATATTGTCCATACGCTGCTCCAAGAGCTCAATTCTCTGCCTTTGTGTGGGTTGACGGTTGCTAGTAGTATCCATTTAGAAAACCAATAATAGAGAAAGCCAAATAGACTGGGCTCTGATACCAACTGTCACACACTGGCAATGCGGAAGTCTTGACAAAGATATGTAAGTGTGTATGGCGCTAGTTAACTCTCTTCACTAGCCCACCAATAAAGCTCAAAAGGTTTGCAAAGACAAGCAAACACAATATTAGTTTAGTTGATGAGCCACAAGATTGGAGACGAACCACAAAATAGCAAGCAACAAGCTAAATTTAAAGCAAGCAATACTAGAAAAGCTTTGGACAATTTAAAGGCGAAATGAACTTTTCATTGATCAAAAGAAGGCATTACAATAGTTGAACAATGCACCAAAAGTGCTACAAAAGTTGCCTTACCATAAGCTAGGTTGGAGTACATTAAAGGCACAAGTGGTCTGGTTCAACATTTGGGTACCCCCTCCTTAATATAGCTTGTTAAGCCTTTTCTTAACTGGCAGGAGGAAACATCTACTATGTTTGAGGAGTCATAATGGATTTTTAAAAATTCTACAAAAAGAGAAAAATTACAACTCTTGGTCCCAAAACACCTTTAATACTAAGGTATTTACATAAAAATTTATAAGGCAAAAAGATTACATTTGATTCTCTAAAAGTTGGCCTAAAGTTGCTGCTTGGGTGGCTAGGTTGCTTCATGGCATGTCTTGGCTATCTTGCACTATGCCTTGGGTCTTTGTTTGCACTTGCACTAACAACTTCTTAGGCATGTCTTTGGCTCTCCAGAGGGCACAAATGAGTGTGGCATCAAGGTGTTGACCCTTGGATGGGCGCACCTTGACAGCATCGGCAATGAAGTGATACAATTTGAAATCTTGTGCGCGAATCTACGACCTAGCTGGATTTACCCAATTGTAGCATTTCTTAAAAGCCATGAGTTGCCAAGTGATGATAAAAGGGTGGCACATAAACAAAGTAACAAGGTTCCAAGGTTTTGGTTCTCACCAACTCGACAACTCTATAAGAAATCCTTTTCTAGTACTTAAATTGTGTGCATTCAAGTGTGGTCGAAGTCTTCCTTTCTGAGATCCATGAGGTATCTTTGGTAGTCAAACGAGAGGTCAGTCCCTTGCTCATTGAGCAAATTTTCAAAGGCATTGGTGGCCATTCATGCAAAGTGACGGCTAAAAATATGTGCAAAATGAAAAGTGTCAAAGTTTTGCTCCCCAAATCCAACAGCAGGCCAGATCTAACCCCAGTCACTAGCCCGTGGCCTTTCACGCAATGAGGACTTGATATTGTCTGGCCATTCCCAACCGCTCCAAGCAATAAAAAGTTCTAGCTTTACATTTATGCTAATGACACCATTGCTTTCAAGTTGAATAGGATGATAGGATACATCTCATCTTAATACCAACTTCTATTACTAGAGATTCAAAATTTCTAGTTTTTGCCTTATTGACAATCTTTCCTTCTCATAGTTGTATATCCTCCTAGCTAATTTGATAATTCGTGTTTATTTGCAGGGAAGAGCCACTGTTAATCCAGTCTTTACTCAAGAAAATTTTGACTAAATTGAGTAATACTCCCTTGGGAGTGGCTAAACATCCAGTTGGACTTAACGTTCGTCTTGAAAAGTTGATGATCATGGTAGATGTTAAAGCTAATGGTGTTCGAGTATTGGGATTATATGGAATGGGTGGGGTAGGCAAGACCACCCTTGCCAAGGCTCTTTACAATAAACTTGTCATTCGCTTCAAACGACGTAGCTTTATTCCAAATGTTAGAGAAAATTCACGATTGCATAATGGTTTAACATCTCTCCAAAGCAAGTTTCTTGGTGACCTTTTCTCAAGTCCTCCCCCAAAAGTAAATGAGGTAAGTAGTGGTATCATGTCAATCAAGGAGGTCGTTCACAAAGAGCCAGTGGTTGTTGTTCTAGATGATGTTGATGATGCAAACCAGTTAAATGCGCTGGCTGGTGGGAGAGATTGGTTTTATGAAGGAAGTCGAATCATTATCACCACAAGAGATAAGGGAGTTCTATGTGAGGACTTTGTGACAGAATTCTACGAGGTAAATGAGCTGACTTTTCCGGAGTCACTTGAACTATTTAGTTATCATGCGTTTGGGAGAGAGAAACCTAGCAAAGATCTCATGAGTTTCTCTGAGGAAGTTGTGTCGCTTACAGGAAGACTACCTTTGGCTCTGGAAGTATTTGGTTCTTTTTTCTTTTATAAGAGAAGTATAAGAGAACGGGAAGATGCATTGAAAAAGTTGAAACAAATTCGTCCTGGTGAACTTCAAGATGTGTTACAGATCAGTTTTAGTGAGCTAGATGTAGAAGTGAAGTGCATATTTCTTGACATTGCTTGTTTCTTCGTTAATATGAAAATGAAGAGAGAAGATGCAATTGACATTTTCAAAGGCTGTGGTTTTAAGGCTGAAATAGCAATGACTGACCTTGTGGCTAAATGTCTCATTAAGATCATTGATGACAATATTTTGTGGATGCATGATCAACTTAGAGACATGGGAAGAGAAATTGTTCTAAGTGAAAGCCATGGAGATCCTGGTAAACGTACTAGACTTTGGGATCATGATGAAATAATGACAGTATTGAAGAATAAGAAGGTATAGGTTCTAGCATGATATCCTGTTTTATTCTATTGTTTTGATGATATAGTTAACAGATACGCGTCAACCCCTTTCTTTGATAAATTTACTTTATAAATTATTGAAGTTTATTCTACAAGGGAGAAGGTAATTAAGAAAAATGGATTACATATTATAAACACTTTGTAACATAATTTGAGAGTATTTTGCAATTTGACACAATGAGGTGGTGGATGCTACATTGTGAACTGCCAAAAAAACATATAGATATGCATTATATTTGCATTAAGTGTCATCTACAAAATATTATGTATTGTTGATCCTAGTGAATTTTAAACTTTAGGTGAAAAGAAGTTGCCAGTTGCTGTCCCATGCATTAATATTTTTATTTATTTTTTCCTGTAGTTACATTTGCGAAAATCTTTTTTTTATGTTAGCAATCTATTATTCTGGTCTATTTGTTAACATTTTTGCTCATGAATCAATAATCTCATTTGATTAATTTTAGGGATCAGGAAGCATTGAAGGCATCACCCTCAACTTTGAGAAGAATCATGATTTAAGCTCTGAAAAAATCTATCGGATGAACTTTCAAAGAAGGCCTGGTTTGGCTTCTGCAATTGCATACTTGAAGGAATTATACAAGAAATATTTTGGTGATTGCGTGGAAAAGGAGAATGATGTGATACATAGCACTAAAGCATTTGAACCTATGGTTAACTTAAGGCTTCTTCAGATTAATTATGTGAATTTGGATGGAAGTTTCAATCTCTTATGTGCTGAATTAAAGTGGCTTCAATGGAAAGGATGCCCTTTAATTTTGCATGCTTGTAGTTCAGTTTTGTCGTCCGGGTCTTGCTGTCCTTGATCTCTCAGAAAGCAACATGGTGCAAATTTGGGATCACAAGCGATGGCATTGGTACAGAAACAGGGTGAGTGTTATTAGTAGCCAAATTGAGAATTGATTTGATTCTTACAGTTACAGGTTATATCAGGTCCAAAACTTCTCAGGAAACTTTCCTCTGAATATCAGCAAAAATCAAGTTCATAGTTTGCATGTCCAAAGGATTTTTGGTGGCATTTATGCTCCAACTTTTGCTTTAAGAAATTACTAAAATAATGTATCTAAAAAATCTGAATTCTTTTGTTTTAGGTGCAGTCTGATGCAATTCCACTAATTTCTTAATTACTATCAACTGCTAGAGTGCATTTTAAATTTTATATTCTTATTAGACATTATTCCTATATAGTCTGCAACTATGTGTATATATTTTTTTCATGAATTTTAATGTGTAATTGGTATGCATCACGATTCACCATCAAATCTTTTTAAATTGGCTGAAGGCAGAAGATGATCTGAGAACTGAAACTTTTTTACACATTGTTTGTTCTTTAGATTACATTTAATGATGTCATTGCTGAAGCATTCTCAAACCTTAATTCATTCAAAAAATTAATCTCTTTAAAGTATGCTGCAATGATTACTACTTCCCATCCTAATGTGCTTGAATATATTAAGCTTAATTTAGTACTGTATTCTCTGTGGCACTTTCATGTATCTTGTATAATATTAAGAAACACTTTCTTGTTGAACCAGGTGGCCAAGAAGCTGCTCGTTATGAATCTCAGTAAATGCTACTATCTTACACATATCCCTGATTTATCCGGGCTTCCCTTGGAAAAACTTATTCTTGAGGGATGCGTAGGACTGGTTAAGATCCATAAATCAATTGGTGACATGAGTACATTAACTCACTTGAACATGAAAGATTGTCGGAGCCTTGAGAAATTCCCAAGGAATGTCTCTGGACTGAAAAATCTTGAGACCTTCATCCTCTCTGGTTGCTTGAAACTGAAAGCATTGCCAGAAAAACTAAGTGAATTAAAATCCTTAAGAGAGCTTGACATTGATCACACTGCAATAGTGAATCTACCTGATTCTATATTCCACCTGAAGAAACTTGAAAGGTTCAGCTTAAAAAATTGCTTGTCATTGAAACAACTTCCTCCTACTATGGGGAAATTGAGTTCACTGAGAGAGCTTGACCTTGATGGTTGCTCTGCTTTGGAGAAAGTGCCTGATTCTATAGGAAATTTGACAAATCTTGAGAAACTAAGTTTGAGCAGATGTGGTTCATTGACTTCAATACCAGATTCTATTGGCAACCTCAAATCTTTAATTGAATTGTTTCTCAACTTTAGTTCAATTAGGGAACTGCCAACTACTATAGGTTCATTATCCAATCTAAAGATGCTTGCAATTGCACGTTGTCAATTTTTGAGTGAATTGCCAGTTTCTATTGGAGGATTAGCATCTTTAAAATTGCTGCGGTTGGTAGGGACACTAATCACAGAAGTACCAGATCAGATAGGTGCCCTGAATGCTCTTGAAAAGCTTGAGATGGGGTACTGCAAGAATCTTAGATCCTTACCAATCACAATTGGGAACTTGTTGAATCTCACTACCTTGTATCTAGATGATGCTGTCATAACAGAGTTGCCACAATCCATAGGCATGTTGGAAAGACTTGAAAGGATGAGATTGAATAATTGCAAGTTTCTTCAGAGAATACCATCTTCCATTGGAAGATTGACAAGTCTGCGTTACTGCCTGATGACAGGAACCGCTGTGACAGAATTACCTGAAGAACTCGGGATGCTTTCAAGCTTAGGAACATTGAATATGGCAAAACGGTCACATCCCGGACAGCCTCAGGCCGAAGACTTAGCTGCAGAAGATAATCACAGTCCTGTTGTTCTTCCAACATCATTTTCTAATCTCTCCATGTTGGAGGAAATGGATGTGTCTGGGTGGAAGTTATCTGGCAAAATTCCTGATAATTTTGAGAGGTTGACATCACTGGAAACGTTGAATCTTGGTCACAATAATTTTTGCAGCCTCCCATCTAGCCTGAGGGGTCTTTCCATTCTCAAAAGTTTGTTTTTGAACCATTGTAAACAGCTCAAGTTTCTCCCTCCACTTCCCTCAAGTTTGGTTCATTTGAATGTTGCAAACTGTATTGCATTGGAAACTGTACCCGACTTGTCAAATTTGGAGAGTTTGCAGGACCTGCAGCTGACAAATTGCAAGAAATTGATGGATATTCCTGGCCTTGAATGCCTGAAGTCATTGAGATGGTTGTATACAACTGGTTGCACTGCAAGCTTTGCAGCAGTAAATAGAAGGCTTACTAAGGTCTCTCTCTCTCTCTCTTACACACACACAAACACTGTTTGCATGTTTGGTATTGTTTCTGTTTCCTATTTTGCCATTATCAAAAACAGAAAAACATAGGCAAACTGTTTTTGAAAACTTTATTTGAAAAGAAAAATATAGCAATTCATTTTTTACTTTTTTTCCTATAATTTTGAAAAATGCCTTCGCACCAAAATAATGAAAACGATGCGTTTTTCGAACTTTTGAAGTTTTGGTTATTGGAAACACGAAAAATGAAACCTACAAAATGAAACAGACCCCCAAAAAAAGCCAGTTTATTTATTTATTTTTTATGGATTATTTCTTCAAATGCAGGTTTTGTTGAAGCATATACACTATTTGGGTGTTCCAGGGAGCCAAATTCCAAATTGGTTTGTTCCAGAAATACCCAGTTTCTCAACTCCGAAAAACCGCGAGCTAAAGGACGTGATTGTAGCTGTTGTTGTCTCTCTTGACCAGCAGAATCAGGATAATTTCATACATGAACTTCCAAGAATAATGGATATTCAAGTGAAGATCATCAGACTCAATGAGCAAAAATTCACTTCAGTACTTGACTTGAGGGGAATTCCCGATACCGATGAGGATCAACTCTACTTGTGCCGATTTCAGGATTATTCGTTTGTTCGAATGTTAAAAGAAGGTGACAAGATACAGGTGGGAATTCGCAGCCCCAGACCATACTATAATGGGATTGTACTGAAAAAGTATGGAATTTATTTGGTTTATGAAAATGATGATGATATTGAGGATGATGATGTTGAATCACAGGAGTCGGTAACAGAGAGGCTATCCAAGTTTTTCAGCTCTCTGTGAAGGGGTTGATTGTAACTTTCATTTTCATTTACATTGCTTTGTTTTGTGTTCCAAGCCCTATTTGATTGTGGGGATTATGAGAGGAATAAGGGCTGGATTGACATTATTTGTTGGATTGTTATTCAGTGTTTAAATTTTAAAATATGTACAGGGAATTAAATGGGGAATAAATATACCACTAACCCATTGATTGTTTGAATCAAGCCCTTGGATATTTCTTTTAAAAAATGTGAATCACAAAAGTTTTATCAAAATTTTTATCAAAGGTTTCACATAGTGTGGGATTCACATGAAATTCACATGGTGTAAGTTCCACATTCATGTGAGACATTTGGTAGAAATCTTGGTAGAACTTTTAGAGTCTTTAGCATTATTGATTTCTTTTTGTTCGTCCAAAAATTAAAAATAATTATTTATTTTTACCTTATTTTTTAGGGCAAATTTAGTTTACCCTATTATTTGGCCCTTGTGTGGATTACCCTTTGTAGGAGAGGGTTCAAGAAAAGAGTTGGAAAATTCGAAGATCTTCAAAGATCCTTGAAGAACAACTTCGAATTCTCTAGAATATGATGAGAGGCTTAGATTCTTCAATAATCTCAACTTAGGAACACAACAACAAAGGAGATGATGGAGATAAGAGATTAGCCCCTCTTACACCCTTTTCATTTGAAAATAATTACATAGTTGTTTATGGATTAAAATGCACCGTTAGGCCCACTAACTATTAAATTAAAAAGATTAAAATATCTCTGTATATAAGTAATCTAAGTGTGTGAATTCCATATATTTTCGTCGTTTGTTTGGAAGGCAAAATGTATTTTAATCCCTTGTGTTTTATCTCATGTGATTTGTTCTTTTGAAATTTGAAAATAACCTCCTTGTGTTTTATATGTGTTTCATACTTGTTAAATTAAACAAAATGTTTAATGGTGCATTTTAATTTACAAATCTTAAGGTGGTTGTGGTTATTTCTAAATTAGAGGGGTAATCTGTACATGGGTAAAAGAATAAGTAGATAAAGTGAAATTTATCTTATTTTTTAGAATAATATTAGGGATTATGAAAAAAATATCATGAAATGCATCATAAAGATTTTTCATCATTTGATTAGTGTGTGGTGTTTTATTGTATGTGTAATCCAAAGGTAGAGAATCTTTCATGATCATCTTTATGATATTTTCTTCATGACCCCTAGCATTACTCTATTTTTTAAAGGAATATTGTTAAGCATCATGAAAGAAATATCATGAAATGTTTCATGAAGGTTTTTTATCTTTTGATTAGTGTAGTGTTTTATTGCGTGTGTAATCTAAGGGTGGAGAATCTTCATGAAACTTTTCATGATATTTTTTTCATAATACCTAACATTACGCTTTTTGAATAATCACATGAAAGATACTTGTCTATTTTGCAAATTTTTGGACCAAGCTTAAGGTTTAGGGATTGTTTGGGGTGCTCTAAATAAGTGTACTTTTTGTCTTTTTGGACTAAAAAATTGAGGAAGAAAATATAGATGTTTGGGTTAACTTTTTAACTTTTTATGAAAAAATTTGTAATAAAAAATTGTAAAAATTAATTTGTAGGAAAAAATTAGGATTAAGAGTTTTGCAGCCGTAATTGTTGACTTTTGATGAATAGTGTTAACTTTTTAACTTTTTGAGTAACTTTTTAACTTTTTTGCAATATGCCAAACTCGACCTTAATCTTTTGGGGTTAAAAAGATATTTATTTGTCCAAAAAGGCCCCTATCTATTCAAACTTACTTGTCTATACATATATCACTTATCTATCTAAATATTGCCTATCTATACATGTCATATATTTATTTACCTAATGTCACCTATTTATACACCTTACTCCTGTAGGGTGCCATCAACTTTCCCGCACGTGTGTCTGTCACCAACTAAAAATTTATCCCCAAGACCTAATGACATTTACCTCCACAGACATAGATTTTTCATCAATAAACCCTATTTTTAGTCCCGCCACATTCAAATATTATATAATTAATGTTTTGGTACAAAATAATCTCATATATTATGTGATCATTACTTTTGTTATATTTTTGTTTTCATTGTAGCAAATAGGGCCATTGGGCATTGTTATAGAAGAAAGTTTGCAGAAAGCAAGAAGACAGTAAAAGAACAGGAGACCTCATCAGTTGTGCGAGACCAGTTTCCAAAGTACACAGATTCATGTCAAAATATAACCAAAAAACACAAAATCTCAGGCTAGCCAAGTTTCACAATCTAGGAAAACAACATTTATAATAAAAGAAAATGCTCGTGTTAGGCCAATGATTTCATATATTTCTCAAAATCCTAATGACTATAATTCCACAAATAAATACAAGAAAATATGTATACAAGAATCGACAACTATATGGCACAACTAGTTTTACAGATTCTACTGATGTAAAATTTTTGAAAAAGAAAGACAGAAAAATGTATGTACAACAAAAATTCCTCTAGGTCAATCCTTCCGATTCTTTGCCCGTGACTTCATACTAGCTCTCCGTGCCACATCCCATGGCTTTTGAGTGGCAATGACACCGGCCTGTAAAGCAAAAAAGGATTCATACCCGGGTGAATCAAATGCAAAACCAGTGTGTTTGGAACCCTCTCGTGGGAGCAATGCGACAGCAAATCTCCTTTCCTCATCTGGTGTAAGCTGGTTCCCAATCTCCAGCAGCCCTGCGCTGCTACTGTCAGGCTCATGCCTGTGCATTTCCTGAACAATTTGATAATCGTAGGGGAAGAACCATCTCTGAATCCTGAAGCCAAACAACAAAAAATTATAGGGGTATTTTGCCAAATTATCAACTTAAAAGTATTGTTTGGATGGATGCGTATTTCAAATCAAGGGACTTCAAGTTAAAAATATTGGAGAGTTAGTATAGGTGGGTAGAAATATTATAGAAGATGATAAGTTGAGATTAAAGAGATGTATTTTAGTAGGAATCCTTGAAGCTAGAAGAGAATCCTTAGTATGATTTCAAATAACTACTTTTATGTAGTTATTTCAAATCTATCATAATAAAGCTATTTAATTCAATCTTGATATTCATAGGTAAATTATCAAATCTAAATTTGAGTAGTTTTCCTTGAACAATTTGTTGAAAATAAACACAAATTATGAGATCTTCATATATTCCGATATCTTTAACAATATAATCTTATCTTCAACATGATTAATGCCAAATCCACGCATTTCAAATCCACATCCATCCAAACGGATCCTTAAGCACCACAAAAGCAAAATAGAATACAAAGGAAAAAGATGCAGGTGACATTCAAGTGATCTTTTGTCCAAATGAGTATATAATTGAGCTATGCATAACATGAGGTCGTGCCCATATATGGCAACTATAAATTAGAAAATTACTCCCCATATCTTACCCTAGATATAAGAAATCGCCAAGCAGTGCAACAACAGGAACAAGAAAAAGTATGACATAGAAATAAACCGTTCTGATCAAAACATAAAAGACTGCGTAGATACCCTGCAGTGAATGTGAAGAATGAAGAAGTTAGGTTTGTAGACTAATTGAACAAGTGATGGAAACAAAAAGGGGAAGACTCACCTTAGGGGTGTAAACACCCGAATATATGAGGATAAACATAAGCCATGCCAAAATGCTGACACCAACACTTATGTGATGCCACCTCGTAATTGTGTTACACATCAAAAGAAGACGCAAATTCACAGTTACTACAATACAATTGAAGGCCACCGTGCTGATGTCCCAAAGACCAAACATCTTGCCAGATGAATCAACACTGTTAGAACTGGAATTGACCACAAATTCGTACACAACTAGTGATTGGTAAAATGAAAACAAAGCCAAGGTCACCACAACTCTCCACTTGAAGAAGGTATTTCTTATTCCCTCCATGTATAACTGAGGGTACTTTTTGGAAAGATGTGCGTTGACATCCTGCCAAATAACAAAATTGAACATTCAGCGTAGATTTGCATTTAGATTGGTAGCAAAAATAGATGGCCAAAAAAAGCATAAATACTCTGACTTTTGGTCCACAAATAATACTATAGGCTTTCTTGAATAAGAGCACTGATCCAAATCAATGGCACTAGTATCAATAGTGGCAACATATAAAATAGAAAGAATCACACACCTTCTCAAAAAGTCCAATCATAATCACAGGCAGGGCTGTGAAAATTACGTTGTATAAAGACTGAAACCAATCATCATAGAATCTCTGACCAGAAAACCCAGTATGGAAGGTGTACCAAAATTGAGTCAAAGTGAATGTAAGGTTCTTGTAAAAGAAATAAGTCACAACCTGCAGAATAGAATTTTCAAGCATGGATAACTTCAGGAGGGAGAAATTAAAAGCAAACAAAATGGTCATTTGCAGGTCAGAAAAAGGTGAGCAGAACCTTGCAAATTCTGAGATATGACCATCGTCCATGCACAAGAAGTAAATCTGTTAGAAAACGGAACTGGGCAATTGCAAAATCACTGGCCATTACTGCTTGCATTCCTTCCAAACCACTTATTCCGACACCAACATGAGCGGCTTGAATCATACTAACGTCATTGGCACCATCACCAATACTAAGTGTTATTTTCCGTGCACCTTTCTTGACAAGGCTTGTCACCTGCAAAAAGTATCTTGTGTTTCAGATTTCACCCTAACATATGTAAATCTAAAGATAGTCAACCAACCAATAAATTGACAGTTGGCAAGAAGTAAAGTTAGGCTCTTCATAGGAAAACCCAAAAACACCTGGTGAGACGACAATTCCAATGACCAGGCTAGAGCTAGCCTTTTTGGCAAAGAAGAGAAAATAAGTTGACAGTTCAAAATCATACTAGAAGTTAGGCCAAAAACAGACAATTGAAAGTTAGCAAATAGTGTGGGCCCAATCCAATCCAATTTTTGAAGATCCTTACACTTTACAAAACTTTCTGATCAATACAGCCAAGACCTTCCAAAAACTGTTAACAACTTAAGCTGTAATGGATTTTTTTATTTTTTTTTAAATAAAAAATATCAGAAATTGAAAAAAATTTAAAATATAGCATTTTCGAGGATTTAAGAATATAATCCGCTACTAAACCAAATTCTGAACCTTGGTTTCAGTACACCACTTTAACAAATGAATATGGTTCCTGCTACCAACTGCCCACTGGGCACTCATTTAGAATCAAATAATGCCCAAAAAAGTTAAAACTTCAATACACATTTCACATATATACACTTACATATTTTTATACACTCTTCACATATTTCAATACATTTTTTACACATATACCAACATTAAACACTGCCCATTGGACGGTGGTTAGCATTTCCCAATAAGTAGTGTTAAATCAAAGACATAACACAGCATTGTGATAATAAACCACTTGATGAGGTTTTGAACAAAGCAAAGCAAAGTTTCTGTATTGATAAGCCCAAACGCAAGTGAATGCTTCTATCATAAAAATAAGGGTAAATTGCACTTTGCCCCCTTATGTTTTTACCATTCTCCCACTTTGGCCCTTCACATTTGTGATTTTCCCTATTCACTCCTAAAGCAAAATTCAATCCAAAAATGGATGGAAAATGGCACGTTGGAAGCCACGTGGCATTAAAAACCCATTATTACACACCCAAACCTCTCTCTCTCACACAGATTTGAAACCAAACTCGACTGCCCCAAATCTATATCTCCTCTCTACTGCCCCAACCTCCATCACCCCAATCTCCACCTTCATCACCACCAACCACCATGCCACTCCACCCCTCGCAACAAGTTTATAGTCAAAATCAAAAAACAAAGTCAAAGACAAGAATACCGGCGAGATGGTGACCACCAGATCGACGACCACTAGTTCCACCAGATCCACGACAACGAGAGATGGTGTGAGACAGTGACGCTGAAGGTAGATGAAAGAGACTTCCATGAGAGAGAGGAAAGACATCGCGGGGAGGGATGGAGGTACAGGGTGACAGTAGCTGGTGGAGGTTGCAAAGATGGGGGAGGGCAGAGAGAGACAGTGGTTGGTGGATTTCGCGATGTGAGGGAAGGGAGAGGGACTTCTATTGATGGTGGAGGTAGCGAGGTGCGGGGAGACAGTGACGGGGATTTAGGCACTGGGGGTGGCAGAAGGACGTGGTGGAGATAATGGATGAAAGAAAACAAGGTGGAAGAAAAAAGAGCTGCAGATCAGAGAGAGGGGTTAGGATTAGAGTTTTGGCTTCAGATCAGAGACAGAGAGAGAGAGAGAGAGAGAGAGAGAGATGGGGTTTGGGTGGGTTTTTTATTTTGGGTTTGGGGTTTGGGTGTATAATAATGGGTTTTTAATACCACTTGGCTGTCAACGTGGCATTTTCCGACCAAATTTGGACAGAAGTTTGCTTCAGGAGAGAATTGGGAAAAATCACAAATGTTAAAGACCTTAGTGGAAAAAAATAACTTCATGGACCAAAGTAAGAAAATGCAAAACATAAGGGGGGGCAAAGTGTAATTTACCCTAAAAATAAGAGATCACAAAGTCAAATGCAACTTTAAATATCAAGAAGAAAAAATTACATCTCAAGAGAACAGTAACGAGGAACCTTACCTGTGCTTTTTGTAAAGGAGAAACTCGACAGCAAACAACTGAACTACAATTCAAGCTCAAATTCAGTAGCATTACTCGTAAATTTGGGTCTAATGCATACATCAAACACTTCCCATCTATCACAAGTGCCAGTTTTGGTCCAGTTAAAGAGTGAAGATAGGTTTGTGCTTCCTCTTGGCACTTTTTTAGCTGATCTTTCACTGCTTTTCTCATAAATTCTGCAATCTTCACTTGATCACCCTGGCCATCAAATTTAAAGCAGAACCTTCAAACTAATGACCACTTCGAAAATTAAATTATTTTATTTACATGTAAAATGAAACCAGAAAAGAAAATTCCTTACAGTGCTTTCAACTTCTCTAATAGCGTCAGTTTCTGAACTGATAATAAACTGTTTCATGTCATTATCAATCAACTTGCATGCTGAGGCAAAGAAAAACAGAGAGAAGATCTGTAACAAATGCAGTAAGAAACACAGAAAAACTGAAAAACAAACTCTTTTAAAATATCAACCATAAGCTATATTAATCGCTGTTTCCAACTTGTCCCCTGTTAGAACCCAGATCTTGATTCCAGCTCTAGAAAGAGTCTCTATACAGGATGGTACTCCTTCTTGAAGCTTGTCTTCTATAGCAGTGCAACCAATTAAAACAAGATCCTTCTCTATGAGTTCTGCAACCTGCATGAATTTGCACTAATATAAGCCGACATTCCTAGAACAAGATCAACTTTAGCATATATTGTTAGAAAGTTCACCACGCCTCAAAATCCTACTAGGACAGATGCTACTATATAAATATCTTTTGTGAACAACTACTAGGAGGTTGGATTTAGTGTGAATTACTTTGTTATCAAAATCTTACGATTCACGATTTGACTCGCAATCTATACAAAATTGACACGAATTCATGCGTGAAACTATGATGAATCGCACGATTCACAATCAATTTACGATTCAATTCACTTTCTACGATTTATGCAATTCTTAAAATTATCGCGTCCGACATATTCCAACCATTTCCTCCTCTTCTTCTTTTACCCTTTTTTAGTAAAAACAACATAATACAACTTTTAAAAGTGTTTAGTACAAAAATAACCAATACCTATGCATGTTCTGTTATTATTTTAGTGATCAGAGGATTTTTAATAAGATCCAATCAGACCCAATATGTGTTCAACCTTTTGTCCTCATTTTTTCCCTTGAAATAGATGTTTAAGGTTAAAGAAAATATATATTGCTATTTTAAATATAGTTCAATATTACATGGTTCAATGTTTTAAAAGACATGCTTAGGCGTGAGGTGCTCCAAGTCGCACCCAAGGTGCCTTGGACAACTTGAGGTGAGGCATTGTAAGAAAGGTGCATCTAAGATGCTTGAGGTGCACGCCTCAAGTGCTTCATTTAAATTTTTGCTCCATCCTTATTCATTGTGTGTAGCCACAAAGAATCACAACCCTTTCAATATAAAATATAAATACATGCTTTGAGCCCAAATTTTCATATATAAAAAAAAAATCCTATGCATTGAACAAAAGCTTTGGGATTGCAAGACGGATATATGGCTTTATAATTCCTTTCAATACGGTGAATTATGACAGTTTCGGGCCCAGATTGAAGCTATTAGGCAATTTGGTCCCTATTTAAAATCAAAACCACTAAGGTACTATACGATGTGAGTTCCTTATCTAAAAAAGAAATGAATCACGTCAATAAATTGATGAAGGAAGACAAATAGTATCAAGTAAAATAGGTTGAATGTTATTTTTGAGAAGTTTTTGGAATGTTAAATGTTATTTTTATGGGTTTTGGAATATTGAATGTTTTATGTTTTTTGAAATTCTAGAAATATTTGCTTATGTTGAAAACTTTGCCTATATTAAAATTTTGTTTAGCTTCTATAACGTGCACCTCGCTTTGGTGAAAGCGCACCTCACCTAGCGCCTCATGCTTAGGCTCTAGAAGACCTTAGCACCTCAATGCACCTAGAGCTTTTTAAAACAGTGACATGGTTCATGTCAATTAAACCTAATGATTCCACAACTTTTTTAACTGTTTTTGAACAATGAACATAATTACCCTTTTAAACTGTTTTAGGCTTTAGAATAAAGGATTCCAATTAATTCTTTCTAACTATTGTACTCTATATAGGATTTCTAATTTCATTTTTTGAATGTCAAGCAAGATTATTCTATGATTTTTGAATAATTTTATAGCTAGTGGGATTTGAATCCACATCTCTTCCTAAGAAGTCAATGTCTTCTCAATTAGACGGGTATAACTATGTCCTTATATAAGACTATTTTATAAAATGTGACAGAATCAATTTATTCCATTTTTTTCACATACACAATTGTTTAACATTATTTTTTACAACTTGTATTCAATCTTAACGATTCTTGATTCGATTCGATTCATGTTTCACAAAATAAGGGTTTCAATTCATGATACAATTCTCAATTTGACAACCATGGTGAATTATTAGCCTGTTCAATTAATTTCAAAATCCTATTGGGACAGAAGTACAGAAGTTATACTAACAATACTTTTTGTGAAAACCAATAACTATGAGGTCAATACCCATCTAACCAGATAAATCTTCGTTTGGTTGATCCTAAGATAAATCAATAAACGAATGAAACATCAACTTTATCCAATCCCAAGAAGCCTAACTGCATCCTGCAAAGCCCTCAAACTAGACATAGTTTATTAGTTGATCTAAGTTTGTTACTGTTTAATATCAAAACCAGATCTCAAACTCAAAGAGCACTAAGCTGATCTGTGCATCCCTCAAATTCAATTATTTTTGTTTGGTGTGGCTCATGGCAAGATTCTCACCATTAATAATTTGATCAGAAGGAGACAAGTGAATGTTAATATATGATGCATTGGTAAGCGTGAGAGTTAAGAAATAAAATATATATATATATATGTTCAAAACTGACAAATACCTCATCCAATTTCCTCTCACGGTCCCGAAGAGAAGATTTTGCTTGAATAAATTTCTCATTCCAATTTTCATAAGCATAGGGACTTAAATCTCTATAGGCCAGGCAAAGGGTACGCAATCCAGCAGATCCAAATTGTTCCAAGTGCTCCCTGGTTGTTTTCTTGACATCATTGCTTCCATCAGCCAATCTTTCATAGATCACAGTATCAGCACCCTACAAAAGACAGGTTCTGTCCAAGTGTCACTTAACAGCCTACTAACAATTTTCCATTCACATAAATAGGCACATAAAACTATTACCTTACAGTACAATACAAGCCTGCCATCCTGATAACGACAAACAACAGACTGTCGCTTCCTTGTACTGAATTCTCAACAAAATTTAAACTCAATGTTAGTATAATCAGGAATGGAGTAGCAAGTAATAAAATGAGACAGAAGAACATACGCACCTATTGAACTCAAGGACACTCAAGATTTCATAAGGAACATCTTGAACCTTGCCCATCTTCTCAACATGTGATTCACGAACATAAATCAAAGTAGGTGTACGCCTGAGAAAAAATATAATTAGCCTCAAACAACTGAAGAATATGGAGTGATAGAAATATCCAAAGTTTTTAAAGGCGAATGCGTACTTCGAGGTGTTTTACCCCTCATGAGGCGAGACGTAAGCCTCATGGCGTTGAGGCGTAAGCATTTCAAATTTCAAATTTTAATATTTAGTGAATAAATTAAATATTTTAAAATAGTAAAAAAATAAAAACAAAATTAAATATAAAAGTGTAAATACTTTTCGCTTTAATGCGTTGAAAATTTTACTGCATAGAAGGACGTTTTCCTTCACTGAAAGTGAAATTGATATTCTTAACTTCAGTGATTGAGCTTCTCACTTGACTATTAACTGTGTTTTTTCTTGATTGATTATTTACTTAATTTTTCCTGTAAAATATAGTTGTAAAAAGGGATTCTATTTATTTTTTTTATATTTAAACAATCCAATAGACTAAGTTTAACAAAAGCCCAAGGCAACCTCTGCATGTGCATACTCCTCACATGTTTATACGCAAAAAGCGTACAAAGCGCACCTAAGGCGCATGTCTCAAACTATGATACGCAAGCCTTTGGGGATTAATGCTTAAAAATCAAAGCCTTGATGCGTTTTACTTTAGCCTCAAGGTGAGGCGAGCATCGAGGCGAGCCTCAGGAAAGCCTTTTAAAACTCTGGAAATATCCCTAATAAAATAGGGCAACGACACTTCGATACAATGTCATGTCATTACAAATTTGAGCGCTTCCGTCCTCATATCCAAAAGAACAAGGCATATTCTTTCAAAAGTACTAAATACTCTAAATGTGTAACTCTACTTGTTATAAAAAAAAAAAAAAAAAAAAAAAAAAAAAGAGTATCAAAACATAACACGGACAAAGCAATATGATATTGAAGGGAAAGTATAATAATAGTGTTCCTGCCTACCAAGGCATGCAAATTATGTACTATAAAGAATTACAGACCTGTAAAAGAAGAAACCAAATCTCTTTGCAGCTGTAACCAAAGCAGCCTCATCAGGAGATGCAGCTTGATATCGAATCTTTTCTGGGGACTCCTCACCTTCAGGCAGCACAGTATGACATATAGCAAGGCATCTGAAGAATTCCTATAAAAACAACGAAAGCATTCACCAAGAAAGTAATTGTTGACTAATCGAGACACTATTTTCATTATGTGTTGTAACATGAGCATATGCTGAGGACCAAGCAACATACAACAGCTATTTTCAACTGACCTTAACAACCCTAGAGCTATATTAAACTATTTTTCAAGTATTGAGGACATTATCAATCTTATACAATATATTAATATCACCACCATAGATGAGCTTATTTCAACAGACAGATACACAAATATAAATTAAAATAATAATAAATACTAGTTGGTGCCATGAATCATCCTGAAGAAAACCAGAAAATTGGTCAATGACCCATTGACCCCACATGAAAATATAGATTAGAAGCACAGAAAAAAAATTCCATGATATTTGCAATATCTTCCTCTTTCAAGAACTCAGTACATAGAGATTAGCCACTGTTTTTTTTATTTATTTATAATATTGCCTTAGTTTCTCCATTTTATCCAAAACGATATCGTTATTTCATAATATACCCACATTTTCAGGGTCGTTATACATCCTTTCTATTGATATTTTATTCGTTGATCAGTATTTCATAATATACCCACATTTTGACATTCTCTATGCAATACGAGAGCAGTTACTCTCTTCTGGTTTCATAACTCATCCAGAATTTTCCCAAAGCAATTATACAATAAGAAATAGAAGAAAATACATATAATGCTTTGTCACATGCACGAACAGTTTACATCTGACAACTACTACCATAAACCATGCTGCAAAGGCATGTCTGTGTGTCTTCTTCATTGTATAAATCACTCCACATAGCTTATTAGAATATCCACAATTGTTGTATTCATATAATGCGTAGTTACATGCACATATAGTTATTTTATAAGTAAATGTAACTATATTAAAGGATGGAAAATGGGCCGCCTACCATGTACACATGGAGAATACTAAATGCACAAACATTTTACATTTGACAAGTAACCACTAACATAACCATGCTCTATGCTTCTGAATTACCGAAAGTTAATCCACATATCTTATCAGAATATAAATAAGCATTCTATTTTTGTCAACTAAAATAATCTTACCTTGCACATATCAGGATTAGGTTCATTCCTCCAGGCACCTTGCATAAGCCTCGCATCATCAAAATTGAAGCCCTTCTCACGTACTATGTTTGATGATTTCCGAACCTGTGTGAACTGATTGACAACAAAATTATACATAGACACACATTAAGTTATGTCATTTTCCAAGTGATGCTAGCTACCTCGTCAACTTTCATGCCATTCCGCTGTGCTCCTCCTATCTCAATCTCCGTAAGGCCAGTTCCATAGACCTCTCCTCCAATAGAACACTTAAAGAACTCCATCAAATTTCTTGTTAGAGTTCCAGTTTTGTCAGAAAAGATATATTCTACCTGATCAAAAGAACAAAATACCAACCATAAGTTAAATTTGACAAGCAGTTTGGGTGGGGGGAATCAATAATGACTTCAAAGAGTTTTATAAAAAATAAATAAATTTCACACCATTTTCCTAAGAAATATAACAGAGATGATAATTTTCTAAAAATAATGAAGGCAAGAAAAAAGAACTATTTGCAATCCACTCTAGAAGAAGTCAACAAGAAATCAGTTTACCTGTCCAAGTTCCTCATTCAGATTGGATGTCCGTGCCAATGCAGGGGTGTTGGTTTCAACATGGTACATATGCAAATCATTGTTAATGTATTGAGTGGATTGTATAAATTTGACCATCTGAAAATAGAAAAAGAAAATGAATCCTTGAACCAAAAAAACAACACGTGGTTTGGGAAAACAAATACTATAACAGTATAAGACCTACCTCAACTGAAACATAAAGAGAAATGGGGATAATTGGTGAATAAAGAGTAATTAGGGTAAACATACTTAAAATAGCAACCTGAAGAAACAATAAACAACGTCAATAAGGAAATCAAATAAAAAATAAAAACAAATTAGTAATTCCAGAGAATTCCTATTATTGCAGCAAGCGAATAATACCACAAATCTGTGTTTGGGGTTCATATCTGGTGATAGATGACCACGAAGACCCAAGAAGTAATATTTGTTGTCTATAAAAACTCCACTGCAAAATTACATGAAGCATAAAGAATGTCATCGAAAGTGAATATTTGGAGAAATGTAGAATCCCCACAGCAGTTACATCAACATGGAGAACAGAATAGCTATTGTCGCACCTGCCAATGGCCCCAATTAGACACATAGAGAAGAGAACACCAAAAAGAATGATTATAAGTTTGTCAAGTTTCCTCTCTAGAGTACTTCTTTTGGAAGGAACATTCATGGAATTCATCATCACCTGCAATTAAATAAAAAAATCATGACAACCAAACATTCTATTTAATAAAGGTTGCCATGTTACAAATGTAAATGTGTAAATAAAGCTAGCAAGAAACATAAACAAAGGACAAAAGAGTAAGTAAATAACTTGAGTTAACATATAAAACAACCTATAGAGATAATCTAGGAACTAACTCAATCCACTAGGATAAAAGAAACCTGCACGACTGATGCAGCAGATGGCATTACAATCCTCAATATCTCTCTAGGTGTGCTAGAAATGTAATCAAAGGTAGCATTTCTAACGAAAGCATTGATACTACCATTAATATTCCGTACATTACAGACGGCTCAAAAATGAAAAACCCAACAACAAAAGAAAATGGGCAATACAAACTGAACTATTTAACACAACAAATCACCTTTGTTTCTTGCCCAGTAAAAATAACAGCTCCAATGATGTACTTGGTGTTCCTGAGACTGCATCCCTGAAAACATGTAGATCCAGAGTAAATAAGTACATGTTCAAAGGAATCATACGGAAATCGCAGACCAATATTTCAAAGTAATCAGAATAATCAATCCTAGAAAAGAGGAATAATATTTCATCTAAATACACAGAGTTCAGCCCAAGCACTTACTTGGACAAGTCTACAATTTAAGCATACCAAAGTCATATTCAGACTTGAACTCCAAATAGAAATGAAACTTGAATACAACAGCAAGCTAATATATGAAAAAGAAAAGAAAGGGAAAAAATCATACTCGCAGTAGAAGTTGATTTGGATTGAGGGGTAAAGCTTGCTTGTCAATTATCAGATTGCCAGTGAATGTGTACAACGAATTATTTGGTTGTTCACACTGTACTTCACCTGCAATTAACAGAAATTTTTTTTAAAAAAATGTAAGAATAGAAAATGAGAAAGGAATCGTAGATTTGCATACATCATGATTTTAAACCCATATCTAAGATTTTCTGTTCAACTCTACACAAAAAAGCTTCAACCCAACTATTCGGAGTTAGGTACTTGTATCCTGTTCCTCCATTCTTGTGTTTCTAGGGTCACAACTTCAGTTAAACCATGCACTACTATACTATTTTAAGGCACTATAATTTTACTGTTTTGAACTGAATCACTAAGGTTTTAAATGAACTAAATCATTTCAACCGGGGTGAAAATGAAATTTTTTCTTAAAGGGCATTAGTTTGCAAAAAAAAACCTTCATTCCCCAAAGAAATCAAAAAAAAAAAATAAAAAATAAAAAAAATTGGACCATCATTCCCAAATAAAACAATTGAATTACAGGAGAGGGAGAGAGAGAGAGAGAGAGAGAGAGAGAGAGCATCCTAATAGAAAATCTTATATCTACAAAGAAAGCAAATGGTTATAAACTTATATGCTTTAGAAGGAAGAACAGAGAAAGAGAACAGAAATTAGTAGAAGGGCCCTAAGGCTATGTTTGGGAAGTGGGTTGGCCTTTTGGCTTTTTGGCTTTTTTAACTATTTTAGCCTGGGACTAAAAAGTCTGGTTTGGAAAGGGCTTTTGGCTTTTTTAGCTTTTTAGTGAGAGAAAGAATGTAATGATTATGGGTTGGATGTGATGTATTGTCTTATTGGGCTAAAAAGCCCATTTTGTTTCTTGTGGCTATTTTAGCTAAAAAATCCTCAAACCTAACTTCCCAAACATAGGCTAAGGCTTGTCCATTGCTCCATGACTATTCCTAATAATCAATTACAGTGAACCATGGTCCTAAAACACGACACTGATGAGTGGGTTATCAAAAAGAAAAAACCTTTGAATTCAGAGGCTTTCTCAGGAGTCATGTAATCCCAAGTCTTTTCCAATGCTTTTCTGATCTTTAAATTCGTTTCACCATCAAGATTTGCAGTCTGACACCCAAGAAATAGAATAAAGGATATTATAAAAGGATTGGAACAAAGAAAAAATAATAAGAAAAATATATAAAACATCAACAAAATGTTTTATTATCCTTTGCAAAGGCATTGTGTTCAGTTCAGAAAAGAAAAAGAAAAAAGAAAAAGTAAAGATTCTTCAAAAGGTAACATGGTGCAGAAAAGAATAGAAACCTCAACATAACAGACACCATCTGCATTTGTACTAGCAAGAAATAGCAGGTCTGCAGGAAAGAATCCGTCTTGCTTAACCTGCAACCACAGCAACATTTAGTTCATAGCAGAACAATGTAGATGAACAATAAAGTAAATTTTTAATAATTCCAATTTCCAACTACAATGGAAAGAAGAAACCAAACGATTATATCATTTATGAATTACTGCTAAGCAATTTTAACAACTAGTAGAAGTTTAGGTTTGCCTTAGTTCGGTCCTTGCAGCTTCAAATGCCGGGTGCCCAGGTAAATTTTATTAAATTGAAAAAACAAGCACAAACTAAAAATTTAAAGCCATAACAGTTTCATTAAATTTTTAAACGTCTCTAAAGAAGCATTCATACATATATGATCATTATATCTAATACTATGTGGTTATACAAACATGATCTATATATATTTGATAGGCAATACACACATGATCAATGATCCCCAGGATCAGGTGGTTATATAATGACCAATTTTATCTGCAAAATTCTTCCAGGATCAACAATGTTGGTCCCAAAGTTTTGTCCAATAGTACAGATCACAACTTACAAGCAGCTCATAAATTCTTACGAGGTCATCATGGGATAATCATTAAACTACGCACAACAACAAGGCAAGCATCATTTCTATTGACATACCTAAGCCACCCTACCTTCTTTTCCATCCAAAACTACGACCAAACTTGGGTTGCCTGTGTGAAGCGAAGTCCCACATAGCCTGAGTACTAAAGTAATATTAACCATATAAACGTGAGGGCACCCTCACTTTAATAGCTAGCTTTTGGGGTGAGTTCTACTCAAGACCGTGTAACAGCCTAGTGTCATTTTCATTTGACAGTCTGTTCTTATTTAACTAGACTATTCTAAACAAACATGAGAAGTGTCTTTTAAATAATAAAATTGTTCATAAGCATGAACAATATGAATTTTTTTTGAATTAAAATATGCTCTGTTGCACAGATAGTAATCTATAACTACGTCTGAAAGAAGATGAAAATGCATAATCCATTGAGCTGGAAAATCTATGTGAATATTTAACTACTGTCAAGGAAGAAATCTTGTTAATGGTATGCGGTATGAGAATGGACTTAAGAGATATTATATTGCCCAGCCTAAATGATCTCTCCACTCATGCACCCTCTTAAATGCTTAAACACCAGCAAAAGGAAGGCCAAGCAAAATGAGATCCTGAAGCCTTTATCTCTCGACTCTTGCACCCTCTCAAACCTTTGTTTTGTTGCATTATTGCTTCTGTTTACTCTTTTAGGACAAATATTAGCCAACTTCATACATGGATATTGTCAGGTGTCACTTTGAACAAGGCACTTGGATGAGTTGAGAATTTAGCAGGCACAGAAGGATTAACCTATTATTACAATGGTATCTGAGTGGGCAATAGATAATAGAGGTCTTCTTAAATTCAAATGAGAAACAATCTCATCATATAACGGACTGCTCAAAAGAAGAAATACAAAATTATAGGATACTTACTCTGACAATATCTCCAACCTGAAGATTCTTCCAAGGGGCACTTTCCCACTTCTGATCTTGCAATACTTCTATAGATGAATTATTTATTGCCTTGTCATTTTGAAAACGCTTCTGTTTCACATAATGTGGGAGAAAAGAAAAAATAAAAAGTAAGGGGCATAATGTGGGAGAAAAGAAAGAATAAGAAGTAAGGGGCATAAACAATGTTCCATACATTCATACTCCGGTGCAAATGCACTAAAAAGTAAAGAAAATGAGTTTTAGTGGAGCAAGAATTATATGCAATGAAATTTTTTTAAACCATTCCATGAAGAATAAGATCACTGCAGAAAACTAGAAGCCAATGAGCTAATAGTACTCACCCAGTCCTCCCAAGCCTCCTTAACAAGGGATACAAAAAGCACCATACTCAGTGGGAGCACATTTGTTATTGGAGATACGGGACTGCATAAACCAAAACTCCTTAGGTGCGGATGCAAAAGAAAGCAAAAAACTTACTTGGACTTATTCAACATCATATTTTGTCAAAGCAAGTGCAGGAAGCAATATATGAGAGCATGAGAGCATAACTCCATAGCTTTTATATTTTTTGATTTCATAGTTTAAATGCAGAAAAATACACGAAGAGGGTCACGACACATGTACATGAGCCGTATGGAAAATCAAGCCCTCCGGGGGGAGGGATGGCAGAGCTCACATGTGGAAAAAGGAAATTAGCAAGCAAAGTACGAAGCAGTATATGAGATGCACATAATAAATAGATAAGGAAACATAGGAAATGCATTGCAGAAAAACACAAGCATTGTTAAATACATTTATCAGTAGAAGCCCTCCCATTGTACCAGTAAGTGGTGATGCTCCAGAGTGGTGAAAGGGAATCAGAAGGCAAGTAGAAAGTACAATTCAAGACATATATAACAAATAGATAAGAAAACACAGGAAATACATTGCAGAAAGACACAGTTACAGTTAGACACATTTACCAATCAAAACCCTACAAGATACCAGCAAGGGCTGAGAGCTCCACTGGTGGGGAAAGGGAAGCAGAAAACAAGTAGGGAATAGGATTACAGGACATCCTTCATACATAGGTAAGGAAACATAGAAATGCATTGAAGAAAGGCAAAGGACATAAGCTTAGTGGAGTCTTCCCAAGAGAAGCTCATCAACCTCTCACCATCTCTCATTATCTCTCATCTCCTCTCTTTCATCTTAAAGATTCAACATGTAGGATTTCAACTAAACTCTTTGAAATATAATTGTCACTATGGTTAAGTTCGGATAATAAGTTTGAAAAGCATGTTAGGTTTTGATTTCAAAAATGGAAAAGCATGATTAGGGTTTCTCTAGTCCCTCCAAAGTATGATTCAAGGATTTTGCCTATCTGAAATGCATGGTTAGTGTAGTCTTTATGTTTTGAAAAGCATGTGTATCTCTCTTGATTTTGGATTCATGATGTTCACTAAGCATATTTCATTTTTCCCTAAATCAAGTAACTGTGTGAGTATGAAAATTTGGGGCTTTCAGGTCCTAATATTGCCTATTAGAAATTTGGGACTTGAATAGCATGTTTAGTACATAATTGTTGTTGAAGTAGGGTATGTGAAATGATGAAAAGCCCAGAGGAGGCAATGTCTTAAATGTATATGAAAAATGTAATTAAGAGGAAGTTCACTAAATATGTTGGTTAATGTGATTTTGTACACTTGCTGATATTTGGGTGAGTTTAAGAAGACAAATATTTGATGTTGTTGTTACTTTTTAGTTGTTTGTGATTTTGGGATAACGAGTTTTCTTGTTAATTCAACTATTATATACTATGTAAAATTGTTGGAAAAAACAAGCCAATATTCCTAATTAAGTTGGACTATATTAAAAAAACTAAAAAAATAAAAGGAGGACTTTGAAAGTAACAAATATTTCCAGTAATTTGGTGAAGGTTGACCTTTTGTGAAACTTGAAAGTGGAATTTTGTGGGGGGAAAAAAGGCAATATGATCAAAGTAGAAAGCAATCAAAGCATTGAGTTCAGTTAAGAATGAAAATGTGAAATTTTGCTAAAGTTAAGTTACATGAAAACTAAACTAAAGGTGAAAATGAGTAATTTCACTACGTGAGGAACTTTGATTTTGAATTTGATATTTTCTTAAAATTAAGGTTTAAGGTTGGGTGTGTTGTGTTAATTTTGAGTTGGTACTAGTTACTTGGGCATGAAATGCCATGATTTGTGGGCCGGTGTGGCCATTTGCGTGAGTTGTGTGACCAAAAGCACATGAATAATGAGTTTGTCCATTTGTGCAAGCCCATAAACCTGCGCAGGGTTTGTGCCAATAGTCATTTGGGTTAGTAACCCATAAATTGGTTTGATTAGGGACGCTTATGAGTCGCCAAGTATTGGTGCACAATGTGATATTTTGAGACTTGCCAAAGTCGGATCTGTACCATTAAAGTTCAGGTGAGTTAAAGTTTCTTTAAAATAATTTTTTTTTTTTTTTTTTTTTTTAAATTGTTTGTTCACTTTATTACGCAAAGAGAGAAATCTAAAAATGGTTAAGAAATCCATTGCATCCCTAAACATGTTACTTGAATATTTAGGTTATTAGTTGTTATTCATATGGAGACGTCATGCTCACCCCTATTTTTCAAGTTTACCCGTGAACCCAATGACTTGAAGCCTGGGGTGGTTTACCCACCTCTTTTTTATAAAATGTGAAGACAGCATAATTTTCACCTGAGAGAAAACCCGCTTTATCACCAATTAAAAGGAAGGAAGAAAGAGCCACTTGTCCAACAAAATGAAGTATGCTTTGGTGAGGGAGAAGCAACTAGGTATGGGAGAAGGGGCGGTTGGCTTACTAAAGACAGTAAGTAGTCAAGTGTTTAGTTGAGTTCAGAATGAAAATGTAAAAATTTTACTAAATTCTCTTGAAAAATGAAGTAAAGTGAAAATGAGAAATTTCACTAAGTGAGGAGCTTTGATTTTGAATTTGACATTTTCTTAAAATTAAGGTTTAAGGTTGGACGTTTTGTGTTAATTTTTGAGTTGGTATTAGTTACTTGGGCATGAGAGCCATGATTTGTGGGCTTGTGTGGCCACTTGGGTGAGTTGTGCGACCAGAAGTGCATGGATAAGGAGTTAGTCCGTTGGTGTAAGCCCGTAAACCAGTACAGGTTTGCACCCATAGTCCTTTAGGTGAGAAACCCATAAATTTGGTTTGAATAGCCACTCTTGAAAGTTGCCAAGTATTGGTGCAAAGCATGATATTTTGAGACTTGGCCAAGTCGGATTTGTACCATTAACGTTGAGAATTGTGATATTCTTGAAATTTGATTATTAAATTTGACTACTGTGTATATTGGTGAGTCTTAGAGACTGAAATTTGGACTATGGTATACTTATAAAAGTTCAGGTGAGTTAAGGTTTCTTAAAGAAAAAACAAAATGGTTGTTTCACTTTAGTATACAAAGAAAGTAATTTAAAAATGGATAAGAAATGCGCTGCAACCCCAAACATGTTACCTATATATTTAGGTTGTTAGGTGTTATTCATATGGAGCCATCATGCCTACGCCTACATTTTAGGTCCACCCATGAACCCGATGACTTGAAACACTTGGGATGCTTTACCTCTTTTGTGAAATGTGCATAACTTTTACTCAGGGGAAAACCCACAATCTTACCAATTAGAAGGATGAAAGAAGGAGCTACTCATCCCACAAAACGAAGTACGCTTTGGTGAGCAAGAAGCAACCAAGTACGGGAGAAAGGGTGGTTGGCCTAGTAAAGATAGGAAAAAGTTCCACTTGGTGAAGGATCTCATCTTCAAGCACCAAACTTGGGATTGAGATTAAATGTCATCTTGGTATTATATGTAACCATTTAATACATGGCATGTAATAACTTAACTTTAGCGTTAAATTTGGTTATGTGCGGATGCCTATGATGATTAGGATGCATGCTCGTAAATATGAAATTGTATGGAAATGTAAATGCCATTGTGGTGTGTTGTTAGTTTGAGAGTAATGCATGCAAATTGCAAACAGGCCTGATTATAACAAGGAATAGAAGTTTTCATGAAACAAACCCACCTCTATATTTTGGCACACTCAAATCATGTTTTAGAACTTGAGAAAGCAACCTTTAAGGCTCAAAGTTTGACAAATTGTGAACTTGAAGCAAATATTGGCCCATTTTGAGAAATTTCATTGCTTTTACTAAAACAGTGAAATTTCACTGTTTGCTACCCCATTTATAAACCAGCACTGTTTTGGGCTTATTGAGCTATTTGGTTGTCCAAAAACCAACTTTTTATAAGACTCAAGTTGTACCAAAATTCCCTAAAGGGTATTGAGTTGCTCGGAAATCCATCTGACACCTTTGCGGGCCTTTTTTTTAAATAAAATAAAACCAGGTAGATTTTTTTTCAAATCTGTCCGAAATTATGTTGTATTATTTTCTAATCTAATTAAACTCAACCTGATGGTCTTTTGAAGTTGGAACGATGACATACGCGTTTACCAACTTAACCATTTGAATGGAATTGGAAACCAGAATAAAATAGCAAACTTCGGGAGTAAAACCAGGACAAGTATTCCTCGACCACAGCCAGGGTTATTAGACCCTCTTCTACATTTGCACTTGGACCATGGTCTGGTCAACGAGTAGACCATTCGTTAATAAATTGGATTTTTCAATTTAATTATTTCCACTTAATTAAAACCCATCGTGTTCAGAAATGCAGATGGAAAAAAGGTAATGTTTGGGATAATTTGGCTATTTTAGTTGTAGTTGAATAGACGGTTGTGAAAGAAAAAGTGATTGATTGATGAGTTGGGTGTGACATTTTATTTTATTGGCTATTTTAGCCCAAAAAACTAGAAAAACAACATCCCAAACAGGGCCTATGTAGCACTTGTGTCCTTTAAACTATTGAAGAGTGTATTTAATTCATTTATTTTCACTTTGGTAGTCTTTGGAGTTATATTTTGGTTTTGGAGGAGTACAATTCGATTTAGACTTGTTGGGATTATTCGTTTGCATTTGTTTTCGTTGAAAAGTTTTTTGGGAACTTGAAAAATTTGTTCTAGTGTCGACACTAGTCTTCCTGGGGGTCGACACCACCTTGCAACCTTGCTCTTAGTGTCTCTGCTGGTTTATAGGGTCAACACCACAGGTCCCAAGGTCAACCCTTGTCGGCTGCTGTGTTCTGGGTGTTGCTATTGAAATATAGGGTTGACACCACTAGTACCTAAGATCGACCCTTGTCTGCTGCACACACTAGTGTCTCAGCCTTTTTTCTTGAGGGTCAACACCACTGTCTTAAGGGTCAACCCCTGTGAGTTATTTTCAGAAATTTTGGTTCGGCCTTGGGCCTTACTTTTTGGAGATTTGACTTATTCTTTTCTTTGACTTTGGGACTATTATTCTACCACTGTAAATAGACCATAAACACACTTTTCTCATTCACTTTTTCTTTTTTTCTCTCTCTCTCTCTTTCCTCTTTAAACAGTGAATCCCTCTCTCTCTTAGAAACTCAACTTTTCTTACATAGATCTCTAGATCTACTTGGTTAAAGACATCTTTTCCCAACTTGGTTCTTTGAGAAAGATTGTAGATTTCTGCAAGGGCTTTCTTTTGATCCAAAAGTTTCGTGATTTAATCGACTTTGAGTCTTTGAGTTTTTCAGAGTTCTCCCCTTCACTTCAAGAGGTAGGGTCTATTTCCTAAACTCAAATATGAGTTCGGTAGCATATTTGTGGCGTATTTTGTTATTTATATTCGGTAGTCATTTGGTTGATTTTGAAATGTTATTTTGGGCTTGAGGGTTTTGTGAAATTTGGGGATTGTTGGGCTATGATTTTGCTATTACAGTTATTTTTGATAATCAAAAATGAATATGGATTTCTAAAAGTGGAAAAGCCCCAATTTGTAGAAAACCCCAAATGATATTGTTTTGGGAGTTGGATTAATTTTGGTAAATGGTTTGGTTGGAAAGAGATGGGAAGGAAATGGTTGTGAGATTTTAAAAATGGGTGTTGTTACTATTTTGGAAAATATATCTATATTGATATCTTTTAATTATTGTATTAGAGATAACTGTTTTGGCTAACGGTAGAGGATAGCATTGCCGTGTGTTAAAAATTGCATGTAGATTAGGCAATTTGAAATCATTCATATCATGGAGCATGTAATGAATTTTGAAAATTAAAACTGTATGTTTTGGAAAGAGGTTTTGGAAATTCTCACATTATGTTTTGGAGCATTTGCATTGTTTTGAAAAAACAATATTTTGAGTTACATGTATTGTACTACTGAAAAAGGTAAACAAAGTGGTAAAGCTATGAGAAGGTGTTAAAGCAGAATTAAGTTAGCTTGTGTATCCATGGTGAAAGATCTAAACCCGCGCAGTAGGTGTCGAGCCTTTCAGTTAGCACTGGTAAAAATGACCTTGTGACTTGTATAGTTACTTATATGAATACTAACCTTGGAGATTTACCCATTTTATTTATTATCCTTTTGGCTTGAAATGATGTTTTGGAAAAAAAGTTTTAGCAATGTATTTGCTGTTGTTTAGCGATGTATTCGAATTGGATTTAGCAATGTATTTGCTGGTTGGTATTGAGGTACTAGGATTGATTTTTTTGGAAAGGAATTTTATATCAAACTGATGTTTTGGACTCAGAAAACATCTTAATTAAACGTAAGGATTTGGTAATTGGAAAGAAAAGATTTTGTTGAGAAATCTGATGGATTTGAAAACGCATTTGGGCATATTATATATATATATATGTATGTATTGCATCATGATCATTTATGCTGGTGGGGCATGTTTAGTTTTTGAAATATTCTCTACTGGGCTTTATGCTCACCCTACGTGGCTAAAAATGTTTTTCAGGTGTACACGTATGCCATATGGATGTAGACTGAGACGTGACGTTGTGTTCGGAACTGTGTAGGGTGGTTCTGTTATTTGTAGGCCAAGGCAAGGACCATTTATGTTATTTATTGGCCGTGTGCCATTCTTGTAAGGGTTACACCCTTGTGTATGATGTAACTTGTAAGCCTCAGGGCGTTTAATTTGATTTTATAACATCTATGCATGTTTTAGTTACAGAACATCCATTCGACTTAGATGTTGTATCTAGGAATGTATAAAATTGGATAAACACATGTATTGTGTGACTATATTATATTCATTTACATGAGAGTTGTTATCTACTATTCATTGTTGAGTGGTTTATTCACGTGAGTCGGACCGTGTAAATCCGGGGTGTGACAGCCTGTGCTTCATTGTTATCTACCTTTGATGATGTTTCTTTCAGTAATGGGACCATTGATAAGCGATAATGGAATATTCATTTGTCCAGTTTATTCTCATGCAAATCCTTCTTTGAGAAGTTCACTGAAATGTTCAAGTTTTTGCCACTCATGATGATTTGGAACGCAAGTGTGCCTCTTAATTTTTGGCAAGGTCAATGGCTCATTTGAAACTTTATCAATGACATGTTTTGGAAGAGTCATCCTAATTGTTATTTACTTCCACAGTGCTGTATTATGTTTAAGAAGAATGAGAAAAGCATTGATCATATATTTTTATCTGTGACCATGGCGTATCACATGTGGCATTATGGTTAGATTATTTCAGTTGACAAAGGATGATCACCTAGTGTTATGGTTTTGGTTCTAACAAGAGGTCCCTAGTTCTTTGGGGTTGTGCAATTTTTGTTGTGCATTAGGTTATTTGGTTGAAAAAGAGATGCAATAAATATTTGAGATAAAATTTGAAGATTTAAGAAGACAATGGGATAACATATGTATTTTGTCTTGTTTTGGGGCTTCAATGTAGGGATGGCAATTTGAAACCGGCCCGACGGGGACCCGACCCCCCGACCCCGATCACAATGGTTTTTCCCCGAAAAATATCCTCGTGGGGACGGGGATGATATTTGAAATTAAATCCCCGATTAGTTTCGGGCCGGGGACGGGGATAGCTTTCACAGCCCCGGACCCGGCCCATCCCCGTCCCTGTCCTCGTTCCCGGTTTTCTCCCCGAAATAAAATTACTATAATACCCATGTCTATATATATTACTATAATCCCCGTCCCCTTCCTCACACAATCACACAAACACACAGCTTCATTCGCGTGAGAGAGAGAGAGAAGAAAGTCACAGCTTCCTCACACACTTATTGCCTATTAGAAATTTGGGACTTGAATAGCATGTTTAGTACATAATTGTTGTTGAAGTAGGGTATGTGAAATGATGAAAAGCCCAGAGGAGGCAATGTCTTAAATGTATATGAAATATGTAATTAACAGGAAGTTCACTAAATATGTTGGTTAATGTGATTTTGTACACTTGCTGATATTTGGGTGAGTTTAAGAAGACAAATATTTGATGTTGTTGTTACTTTTTAGTTGTTTGTGATTTTGGGATAACGAGTTTTCTTGTTAATTCAACTATTATATACTATGTAAAATTGTTGGAAAAAACAAGCCAATATTCCTAATTAAGTTGGACTATAATAAAAATAAAATAAAATAAAATAAAAAAGAAAAAAAAGAGGACTTTGAAAGTAACAAATATTTCCAGTAATTTGGTGAAGGTTGACCTTTTTGTGAAACTTGAAAGTGGAAAAAAGGCAATATGATCATTGAGGTACTTGGATTGGTTTTTTTGGAAAGGAATTTTATATCAAACTGATGTTTTGGACTTGGAAAACATCTTGATTAGATGTTAGGTTTTGGTAATTGGAAAGAAAAGATTTTGTTGAGAAATCTAATGGATTTGAAAGTGCATTTGGGCATATTGTATATATATGTATTGCATCAGGATCATTTATGCTAGTGGAGCATGTTTAGTTTTTGAAATATTCTCTACTGGGCTTTATGTTCATCCTACGTGGCTGAAAATGTTTTTCAGGTGTACATGTATGGATGTAGACTGAGACGTGAAGCTGTGTTCGGAACCATGTAATGTGGTTTTGTTATTTGTAGGCCAAGAGCAATTTATGTTATTTATTGGCCGTGTGCCATTCTTGTAAGGATTACACCCTTATGTATGATATAAATCTTAGGGCGTTTAATTTGATTCCATAACATTTGTGCATGTTTTAGTTACAGAACATTCATTCGACTTAGATGTTGTATCTAGGAATGTATAAAATTGGATAAACACATGTATTATGTGATTATATTATATTCATTTGCATGAGAGTTGTTATTTACTATTCATCGTTGGGTGGTTTATTCACGTGAGTCAGACCGTGTAAATCCGGGTTGTGACAGCTTGTGTTTCATTGTTATCTACCTTTGATGATGTTTCTTTTAGTATTGGGGCCATTGATAAGCGATAATGGAATATTCATTCGTCCAGTTTATTCTCATGCAAATCCTTCTTTGAGAAGTTCACTGATAAATCCAAATGTTTAAGTTTTTGCCACTCATGATGATTTGGAACGCAAGTGCCTCTTAATTTTTGGCAAGGTCAATGGCTCATTTGAAACTTATATCAATGACATGTTTTGGAAGTCATCCTAATTGTTATTTAATTCCACAGTGCTGTATTATGTTTAAGAAGAATGAGAAAAGCATTGATCATATATTTTTATCTGTGACCATGGCATATCACATGTGGCATTATGGTATAGATTATTTCAGTTGACAAAGGATGATTGCGTAGTGTTATGGTTTTGGTTCTAACAAGAGGTCCCTAGTTCTTTGGGGTTGTGCAATTTTTGTTGTGCATTAGGTTATTTGGTTGAAAAAGAGATGCAATAAATATTTAAGATAAAATTTGAAGATTTAAGAAGACAATGGGATAAGATATGTATTTTGTCTTGTTTTGGGGCTTCAATGTTATCCCCTTTCAAGGAGGTTCCTTTGATTTTGATTTCTAGGAAATAAAATAGAACACATCTCATCTCCCAGTGTTTTCCTCCCCTTAGCATTGTGTCTATTATGTAAGAATACCATATACAGTGGGAAATAGATAAAACTACGGCTGGGAAACATTCCCTCACACCTCCCACCAACCCCTCCCCCCAGAAAAAGGAAACAATTAAAAATAAATAAGTAGGAAAAAAAAAAAAAAACTCCCAACAAAGCCCCTTATGCAACAACAATTCATTAAAAGTTAGTTGGAGGTAAATTGATCGATCTTTGCATTCCAACCCACTCATTTGACCCAGGCAGGTCTGGTCATTGCTAAAACTCTCACTATCATCAATAAGGCACAATATGGCAGACTGCTGAAGTATGCTGTTTTGCATACGTCATTCTAGTACCCTCTGCAGAATGCTTTAAAAATAAAGAACAAAACATTCACCGACTCTAATTTTACTTGACATACCTGACCGGCGTGGCTGATAAAATTGAGATCATAAGAAAGTAGAGGTTAGCCACCCGTCTGAACTGTCAGTGGAAAAACAAAAACTTTTCTCAGAAATATATATATATATATACATATATAGGAAAAAATATGTAGGGTTGAGCTCAGTTTGAGATAGACCAACACTATGGAGAACCATAAACAACCTCAATCACAACCATTCCCATTATTAAATGAATGGAGAATCTAAACCCTACGCAAACAAGTCTCTTTTGGGTGAACCCATATTCTTTTATTTTTAAAATAATCTCTACACATTAATAATCTAAAAATATATATTTAAAAAAATGACAAGTGAAATGAACATGAAAAAAAATAATTGATACTGTCACACATACAATCTATTGATGGTAGAATAGAACATTACATAGTTTTTACACAATAGATTCTTACCAAATAAAGTTATATAATACCTACTGTAATGACAAGCACAACCCGTGTTAGAAAAGTGCAAAGCCAAAAGTAAAATTAGAAATCAATATCGCAAAAGTTCAGTCTAAAAATAAGTCAAGATTTCCCACTCAAAATCGCCTCTCAAACCACAGTTCCCAAATGGGAATAAAAAGGTGCAATAAAACAAAAATGAACACTAGAAAAGTCCGTAGAAATCAAATGCATAATTTTTCTTGACATTTTAATTACAAAACTTTTCCAATCAAAAAAAAAAAAAAAACAAAAAAAAAAAAAAAAAAAACACAGCAAAACCTTTTAACAAAGTTCTATGATTCACCAGAAGCTAACATAATTTTTCTAGAAAGGTTTTGGTTCTTTGAGGAAAAAAATAGTTTCAAAAGGCTTCCACCCCCTTGACCTTCTCAAAAGTTTCATCCCAGTTTCCAAACCAGGAATCTAGGCAAAAGCATGAATTTTAAACTAAAAAGTGGGAAGAAAAAAGAAAGAGTTGTCATGCCAACTATGCCTATACTACAACCTATCAGGTCTAATGTTTGAAACATTAATTCACCCTGAAAATTCATGGTTTGTGTCTAATAAACGGACGGATGGGCATTTCCTCAATTCTGACCCAACCCAAAAAAAAAAAAAAAAAACAGATTAGTAAGTAAGCACTGAACAAATAAAACAGTTTAGGTTGGGTCACAGAAAGATCAAAAAATGGTCTTAACAGTTCCATGATAATATAGGGAGTGATGGCAAGATAAATAATTTATCACTTGCATTGCTGGGAGCCAGAGAACTAGTTTACCTGTTCAAACAACCCTTTTGGTAGAAAAGTAAGAATGTTGTATTTCGTAGTTGATATAGAATTTCCCTGAAACAATTAATTGCATACCAGTAAAAACCAATTAGAATTTACAAGTAAAAACAGCTTGAAGAAAAACGTAAATGGGTAAAACTCAAAAAACTTCTTCATACAAAGGGAATAATAGTCTGTAGTTGACCTCCTATAATTAATATTCAGTAACTTAATAAACTTTTTAGAAATCAACTTTTTTACATATGTATAATTAATAATAATATTAGAATAGAAAAATACACATGAACAAACATATGTATTGACGTGGGCTAGTCTAGTAAATAGAAATATGAATCTCCTTAATTTGACTAACGATATGGCCTTGGATAGAGTCGAATGAAGAAGAATGTTCATGTAGCCGACCCCATTTGATAGAACTTCAGGCTTGGTTTGGTTTGGTTTGATTTATAAATTTACTAGTAACAAAGAGGGGGATTAGGAGCTTTTATATAATCAAGATTAATATAATACATAGTTTTTGCCAACAAAGTCCATTACCTTAAGAATATCAGAAAATATTTCCACCATTGAAAATCATAGAGAAACTTAATATTTCATAATTCTAAGAATTTTTTTTTATTCTCCCAAGAGTACTTATTATTAGGGGATCTATTGTAATTAAAAGTTTCATGTGTTCTATGGTTGCATATAGCACTAAATTTCTTCAGGTCATTATATACATAAATTCTCTTTGCTTTACTTATGTATCATAATCTCAGTTCCTACTGGAAACTACCTCCAGCAAAATGAAACTAGTATGGCACAGCTGGCAGTTCACCAATATTAGACTTTTGGTTAGTCAAAATCAAGAAACTAGAGAAAACATGAAGTTCAATGTTTCCAGCTTGGTGAATCATTGAGCAAACGTAGCCCAGCTAGACAAACAGTGAACATCATGGTTGGTTAATGAGAGAGTGAGCCACATGGAAAATATGCATGTCTCGCACAGAAATATGACTACTCTTAAGAACACTTACCCTTCCTCACATTTCAACAATATAACTTGTCAAAGACCATTTGAACACCAACACCCATATTATAATCTGGTTTTTCTAATGTCTATTCAGTCAAACACCAAAAATCCATGTCAATGTCCCGTTACAAAGATCCCTAGAGAACACATGAACTGCATGCCCTAAAACTTTTACATAAGGTATTTCAAACATTCTGTATTATATCAACATTTTTTACCCGTCTAAAAGAATATTCTAACACTAGCCTTATTTATCCTTCATGCCCCTAAATGAGTGCAAACACTCCTTAAAAGAATGTTTATCTCATTACTTCTTCTAGTAATAAATTGCATTGCCTTCCACTCCATCACTCTAACCACTCAGAAGAAATTACCGATTCCTCTATGTTATGGATGACAAGTCTTTAGGTAAAAAACACCAGGAACAAAAAAATAAAAAATAAAAAATTGCTGTATAAATAGAAACCGTACTAGAAAATCCATAACTAGTTCGCAAAACAATGGATTACCATTGACAAAAACTATAACTTCCATATGTCCAAAAGGGTAGCATACAAGCTATGCAACCTGAATGCCTACCATATGCTTATCTTATTTCCCAGAAACGCAATGTTGAAACGAATCACAGGTAAACCTAAAAGGTAACAATGAAGTGGTGTGAGGCAGAATGAGGATACCAAAGGAATCACATAAGTAAACCTAAAAGGTAACAAATTTAGGAAAAGAAAAATAGTATGATTTTGCTGCGTTCATTAAAGACCATGACGAATCAACAAAAAACATGTGTTGTAGTCAGACTAAGATAATACTAAGGGAAGAATGTTATAACATTATTAAAACTACCATCCAGTCTTATATTAGCATTACGGGGCCATATTTTGTCTGAAATTTTCTAACCAATAACATATCAGGATGTTTTAATTGATAAGCATGTCAATATAATGTTTGGGTCCCACAAACTTCCAAAATGTACTTAATTTTCATCCTCTCTATCAGAAAGCACTTCATAGTCAAAAGATTAGCACACCAAAGTTCTTTCCGCTTACAACTCACAAGGTTCAATGGCAGTGGCAGAATTATGGCTTCACCAGATACACAAAGTAACAACTATATAGCTGGTTGTGTTTCCGGCACCAAAACCAACTATTCTACATGACTCCCAACCAAATCAATCTCACCCTAGCTCCGCAAACAAAATCTAACACGTGACAACTGAAAACAGTTTGATGAAAGATTAGGGTTTAATTTTTCCATAAAATAAATAAAAATGGTTAAGGATCAGCAAGAGGGTTCAGGGGAGAAATTAGGTTCAACAAGGACTGTCAGTTCAAACATCGTGTCAACACAAAACCAGCAGAAGAAAGGGGTTTTTTCTTTCTTTTTTATCTTGGATAAGTTGGCATACCTATGGATGGCAAAAAAGACGAGCTACAAGCAAGAACTGTGAATTTTTTTCGAAAACATGTAACGAAGTCCAACAAAACATTGCAGGAGCTAGAAACTAAAGGACAGACACATCCATTAAGAAAGAACACATAGAGTTGCTAACCATTTTTTTAACAGTCTCCTCATCTTCCAATCTAGGGATCAAACTACAATCTGTCAGAATGTAGAACAATAAAAGCATTATCTCACCCAAAAGATATATACAACACCATTACTTGAAAAAAAAAAATCATCACAGCTTACAACAAAACCCCATAGAGAAGCTTCCCCAATGACTTTCACAGGAGCCAAGTTTCCAGTTTAATTATATAGCACATGGCAACAGGTTCTAAACCTGTCTAAAATCTCTCAGCATGCCCCCAATTTGAAACTATTATGTATTCCCAAGGGGGAACCATCAACATAAATTTGATTTTCCCCTACAAGAAGGCCTCCTCTGGCCACTTATTGACTTCTCGTGAGTTCATTACAAAATCAATCAAAATCAAACTCAAATGCAATCTTTTAAGTTCTTCTGTAAAGAAGATCAAAAAAATGTCCAAGAAAAACTCAATCTCAAAGATCCTTGGCAAACATCAAATAATTCTCTGCACCAGAAATTATCTACCCTTTCAATACAAAACCCAAATCCAAACTAAATAAACTAAGATCCCTAAAAAATTGACAAGTTAAATCTCATACAACATCAGCTTTGTCTCCCTTGTGAAGACATCTTAAATTGGTCTAAATCACTCCAAGTATATGGAACAAATTCCAAGGGAAACTAAATAATTCCCAGCAAAGGGAAAGAACAAAAACTATAACTTCCATATGTCCAAAAGGGTAGCATACAAGCTATGCAACCTGAATGCCTACCATATGCTTATCTTATTTCCCAGAAACGCAATGTTGAAACGAATCACAGGTAAACCTAAAAGGTAACAATGAAGTGGTGTGAGGCAGAATGAGGATACCAAAGGAATCACATAAGTAAACCTAAAAGGTAACAAATTTAGGAAAAGAAAAATAGTATGATTTTGCTGCGTTCATTAAAGACCATGACGAATCAACAAAAAACATGTGTTGTAGTCAGAGTAAGATAATACTAAGGGACGAATGTTATAACATTATTAAAACTACCATCCAGTCTTACATTAGCAATACGGGGCCATATTTTGTCTGAAATTTTCTAACCAATAACATATCAGGATGTTTTAATTGATAAGCATGTCAATATAATGTTTGGGTCCCACAAACTTCCAAAATGTACTTAATTTTCATCCTCTCTATCAGAAAGCACTTCATAGTCAAAAGATTAGCACGCCAAAGTTCTTTCCGCTTACAACTCACAAGGTTCAATGGCAGTGGCAGAATTATGGCTTCACCAGATACACAAAGTAACAACTATATAGCTGGTTGTGTTTCCGGCACCAAAACCAACTATTCTACATGACTCCCAACCAAATCAATCTCACCCTAGCTCCGCAAACAAAATCTAACACGTGACAACTGAAAACAGTTTGATGAAAGATTAGGGTTTAATTTTTCCATAAAATAAATAAAAATGGTTAAGGATCAGCAAGAGGGTTCAGGGGAGAAATTAGGTTCAACAAGGACTGTCAGTTCAAACATCGTGTCAACACAAAACCAGCAGAAGAAAGGGGTTTTTTCTTTCTTTTTTATCTTGGATAAGTTGGCATACCTATGGATGGCAAAAAAGAAGAGCTACAAGCAAGAACTGTGAATTTTTTCCTAAAACATGTAACGAAGTCCAACAAAACATCGCATGAGCTAGAAACTAAAAGACAGACACATCCATTAAGAAAGAACACATAGAGTTGCTAACCATTTTTTTACCAGTCTCCTCATCTTCCAATCTAGGGATCAAACTACAATCTGTCAGAATGTAGAACAATAAAAGCATGATCTCACCCAAAAGATATATACAACACCATTACTTGAAAAAAAAATCACCACAGCTGACAACAAAACCCCATAGAGAAGCTTCCCCAATGACTTTCACAGGAGCCAAGTTTCCAGTTTAATTATATAGCACATGGCGACAGGTTCTAAATCTGTCTAAAATCTCTCAGCATGCCCCCTATTTGAAACTATTACGTATTCCCAAGGGGCAACCCATCAACATAAATTTGATTTTCCCCTACAAGAAGGCCTCCTCTGGCCACATATTGACTTCTCGTGAGTTCATTACAAAATCAATCAAAATCAAACTCAAATGCAATCTTTTAAGTTCTTCTGTAAAGAAGACCAAAAAAATGTCCGAGAAAAACTCAATCTCAAAGATCCTTGGCAAATGTCAAATAATTCTCTGCATCAGAAATTATCTACCCTAAAAATACAAAATACAAAACCCAAATCCAAACTAAATAAACTAAATCTCGTACAACATCAGCTTTGTCTCCCTTGTGAAGACATCTTAAATTGGTCTAAATGACTCCAAGTATATGGAACAAATTCCAAAGGTAAACTAAATAATTCCCAGCAAAGGGAAAGAACATTTTCCTTAAAGCATAAAGCTGGATCAATTGATAAAAAAGAAAGCTAACCTCATTACTACTGTTACAAGAGAACACGTCTGGTCAGAATGATTTCTTGGGCTTCCTAGTTTGATTAACTTCACTGTTTGATCCTTTCTAGAAAACCAGCACATGCTAAAGCCTTAACTAGGGAAGAAGCCTTAGAAAGGAACCATGACAGGGATTTTCAAATGAATTTTACAGTACTTCAACACAAACACCAATACCTACAGTGAATTCAGAAAGGGGAATTAAACAACAGCTTAGTTTAAGCTGTAACCAAACCTAACCAAGTCTTATGTCCCAATTAAGTGGGGTCAGCTACATGAATGCTTTTTCGCCATTCCACTCTCTCAAAGGCTATATGTTCAGTTAAATTAAACAAATTCGTACCCTTTTTACTACCACATCCCATGCCAATTTAGGTCTTCCTCTCCTTCTAACATTCCCTTTTACGGTGATCATATCATTTTTGCATCTACAGGGGCTTCCTTATACATGACCAAACTATCTAAGTATGTTCTCCCACAACTTATCTTCAATTGGTATTAATTTTGTTTTTTTCATCTCAACTACTCATTTTATAAACATCTTGTTTCTTAATAACCCAACACTCTCTCCAATAAAGCATCGATGCCCTTACAACTGTTTTAAGCAGTAAACTCTTAAAATATTTTGGTCCTCTCAATTCAGAATTCATTATTGTTTCCCATGGTCCTTCCTTTATTACTAGATTTCGCTGATTATCTTTGGGGTCCAACCCTTTTTTTTTTTTTTTTGGTTGCAAGTCATTCCAGTACACATTGCTTCAGTGTTTTATAAATTATACCATCAAAACTAACACTAAGATGCTATATATACCAATAAACAACACTTACTATCAACAACAGCAATCCAATACATTGCACAACTAAAAACCCCAACACAAGTATAATTCATCCAGAAAAATCCAAATAATTGACATAAGCTCTTGTAAAACTCAGTTCAAGTTTATTTACAAATCCAAACACAAAACACATCATCTTACACCCAAAAAAACTTTGTTTCAGTGCTGGAAGTACAACTACCCATTCCATCATAAATCTTCTGAATTAATATAGATTTAATTTACACAATTAATACCAATCATCTCATGCTCCACCCTAATTTTCACCTCAAAAAAACAATTCGTTGTTCAATTTTGCAAATCAATACAACAACTCCAAACCAAACTTAGAGAGAGAGAGAGAATAGGGGGGACCTTGAATTTAACAATGAAATTGGCTTCTCGATCATTGCAGTGGATGGTGCGGTGACCAGGAGCCTGAGGCTGAACTTGACCGAGAGTGACGGACCGAGAGGGAGCTCGGTTCGGCATCCGTGAACTCCGACCACCACCACCGCGGCCGCCAAGCCCTGATCCAGATGACCTAATCCTTTCCCAACCGTCCATTTCTCTGCAATTCGTCCGATCGACGGACCACAACACCTCCAAAAAGCCTCCCAATTCTACAGATTGCACAGAATATTCGATCACTTCTCTTCTTCTTCTTCAAGCAAAAACACAAAAAAAAAAAAAAAAGAAAAAATCTATATATACAAATTTTACTGTGTAATTAATCGATGAACTTTCTTATGTTTATGGGTTTCAACGATCTTATGAGTGCCTGAAAAGCTTCGAATGACGCGCTCTTTGGCGCGTGAGATGTAGTTTGGTGATGGGTTGTGAGGGCACGCGCGAAGAGGAGAGTGGGCGATGGTTTTGAAAAGTTGGAAGCGTAAGGAGGTCCTGCGGAGATCCAGCGAGAACGATGCCGTTTGCGTAATACTCGCAGCAATTGGGAAATCTAAGCTTTGGATTTTTGATTTTATATTTTTTTGTTGTTGCGATGATTTTGGATGATTGGCAGTTTTTCTTTTTTTCTTTTTCTTTTTTCCCCTCTTTGGAAGTGTGAGATAGTTTAGGTTGCGACAGTACCACTTAAAATTGGGTTTTTTTTTCCAACAATGATTCATCCCACTAAAAACATCATCACTAATAGCACTAATGCATTAAAAAAATAAAAAAAATAAAAAAAAATGACAACTCCAAGACCAAAATATCACATCATTCATGACAGGACCCACTGCCACCTCATTAGTGGGAGCACTAATTAGTGCTCCCAAGCATTTTTCTTTTTTTCCTGGGACTTTTTCCAAACTAAGCCTCTTTTGTATCCTATTTCCTAAATTAGGCCTTTGTTTGGTCTTTTGTATCCTATTTCCTAAATTAGGCCTTTGTTTGGGAACTTGGTTTGGGGCTAAAATAGCCACAAAAAATAAAATAGGCTATTTTAGTCACAAAAAACAAAACATCAAATCCAACCCATAATCATTACAATCTTCTCTCACAAAAAAAGCCAAAAAAGCCAAAAAGCCAAAAAGTCCTTCCCAAACCAGGCTAAAATAGCCCAGGCTAAAATAGCCAAAAAGCCAAAAAGCCAAAAAGCCAACCCACTTCCCAAACGGAGGCTAGGTTTAGTTTGGACGGAATTCTAAAACTAAGCTAAAGCGCTATTACAAATCGCGCTTTCACTGTTTGGAACCCAAAATTTGATGAATAGTAAAAGCGTTATTGTAAAACGCGATTTTAATTAATAAATCGCTGTTTTAAATCGCGCTTTTAACATAAAAAAATTTTTCTAAAAAAAATGCTATTTGAAATAGCGCTTTCACTGTACATATAAATTTTTTTTTTTTTTTTAGAAAACGTTATTTCAAATAACATTTTTACTGTTGAAACATTCACCAAAACCAACCCACCTCTGACACACGCACACACCCCACACACACACAACCCACACTAAGCATTGCTTTTAATATAATTTTTATATATAATAATAAATTATATAATTTTTATAATTTTCGTAAATATAAATCATTTTTAGGTTATGGATGGTTTGATTTATAACACGTATATAAGGGTAAAAAATTTTGTAATCAAAAATAATTTTTGCAATTTTTATAATCAAAAATAATTTATAAATTACCAAAAATAATTTATAATACGTATGTATTATAAAAAAATTTTATAATAATTTATAATATATATGTATTTACTTTAAATAAATTATATATAATCCGTATGTATTATATATATAATTTTTATATATTTACTTTAAATAAATTATTTTTGATACGTATGTATTATATATATAAATTATTTACTTTAAATAAATTATTAATAAATATATAATAATTATTTTATAAAATAAATTATTAATAAAAATAAATTATTTTTGATTATAAAAATTTTTACCCTTACATACGTGTTATAAATCAAACCATCCATAACCTAAAAATGATTTATATTTACGAAAATTATAAAAATTATAAAATTTATTATTATAAATTATTATTATATATAAAAATTATATTATTTCAATTCTTCAGAGTGTGGGTTGGGTGTGTGTGGGTGTGTGCGTATGTCAGAGGGTGGGTTGGTTTTGGTTTATGTTTCAACAGTAGAAACGCTATTTGAAATAACGTTTTATAAAAAAAAAAAAAAATTTATATGCACAGTGAAAGCGCTATTTCAAATAGCGTTTTCTTTAGAAAAAAAATTTTATGTTAAAAGCGCGATTTGAAACAGCGATTTATTAATTAAAAGCGCGTTTTACAATAGCGCTTTCAATATTCATCAAATTTTGGGCTCCAAACAGTGAAAGCGCGATTTGTAATAGCGCTTTAGCCTAGTTTAGGAAATCCGTCCAAACTAGGCCTAGTTTGGGAAATAAGATGCAAAAGAGGCTTAATATGGGAAAAGCCCCCTTAAAATTGAATATATTAAATTGTAATTAATTAGGTTGGTTTAATAATTATAATTAATATTATTTAAAATTTTAAATATTTCTTGATTAAAATTTGAAAAAAAAAAAATAAATTACATAAAATTTATTTAATTATAATTGAATTTATAAATATTAAATATAAATATTTATCAGTACTGTTATCACCACTGCCACCGCCACCACTGCCACCATTACTACCACCACCTTTGTCACAATTTTTATTGTTGTCATAAGTATTAGCATCATTTTTTTGCTACTACCATCGCTGTAGCTACCAATGCCACCACCATTATATCATCACCACCAACACAATATAAAAATTAAAATATATAATTTGAAAATAATAAATTTCAAATTTGATCTATACATATCAAATAATTTATTTTTAGTTCATCACTTAAATTTTTATCAAATAACTTTTCAGCTTAAAAAATTCAGCATTAAATTTTTAATACTTAATTTTCAATATTCAATTTTCAACTTTATTAAACTCCACATAAATCGTTCAATTTGCTTAATTGGACTTATCAGCTGTACATCTTAACAATTTGAATTATTCATTTTAAAAGATCTTTCAAATAAATCATGAAGTGTTCATGGACTTGACCAATCTACCAAAATCAACCGACCCGATCCAATCCATCTGCTTTTAAGCGGTTTCGATAATTTGGGCAGACGGATGTGGATGAAAAATTTTCAAATCTGCATATGTTCAGACGAATGGAGAATAAAAGATCATCTAACCTAACCTGATCTGCTAACCCCCTTAGTAAAATAATGTTTTATGTTTTTATGTTTTGTATGTTAAAATATATGAAATTTTATTTAGTAATGTTATTAGATGCTTATGAAATATAAAGTTTAGCCTTTATATTAATTATAAAAAATGAACAATAAAAATTTTGAACTCAAGATCGACCAAAAATAATAAAAAAAATTACTCTAAAATAGTTCAAAAAAAAAGTTTAAAAAGTAAAGACCAAATTACCAAATAGATTCGCATTCACCCGCCAACCTGCATAGCCCACTCAATCCGCATCCGCTAACTAAGTAGACAGATGTGAATTGATTTTTTCCAATCACCTAAGTGCGGACGGATGACGGATGGGAGGCTATCCGACCCAACCTGATTCATAAGCAACCCTAAGCCCTCGTTTGGGAACTTGCCTATTTCAGTTGACTTTTTGATTATTTTATGGGATGAAAAAAAATTATGTTTGGAATAATTTGTGATTTTTTTTTTTAGTTGAATAATAGATAGTTGTGAGAGAAAAAAAAAATGATTGGTTTATCTGTAGGGTGTGATATTTTGTTTTATTGGTAATTTTAGTTTCTTCTTTCTTTATTTTTATTGGTTATTTTAGCTAAAATATATCATCTCAAACACCACTTAAATATGTATACAAAAAGTCAAATTGATTGGATATCAATAACTATTTGATCGAATTTGATATAAAAAAAATTGTCTTAAAAAAAGTGTAAAATGATCAAAATGTATTTTAAATTTCATAAAAGTGTATTGAATTTAGTAAGTGTTATAAAATGTACATATATTTGTATTTTTTTCCGTTAGGTTATGGGCATTTGTTAGTAAGATTAAAAACTTTATTATATTGGAATACAATTTTCATGATGAGGGTTTTTTATTCAGCTTCTTAAAAATTATTTTGTATTAGTTTAAGGATACTAAAATATGCTTGTTAGTTGAAGAACACTAACTTTTTTTTGGATGATACTACTCTTAAATTTAGTTTCATTATTCCATTACATCATATTAACACTAGCGATCCCAGTTTTGCCCTGACCTTCATTGTGTTCCGGATTTGGGTTCCGTGATTGAATATTGTATCCATGTCTTGTTTTTCCCCTTTGACCCTTTGTATTTGAGTTTTAGAACTTGTTGGGCGAGTTTTGAGCAGGTTGGTTGTTAGTTGGGTTAGATTGTTGTTGCCCAGATTTTGGCCTCTTCGCTTAAGCGAGCCTTTTTGCGCTCAAGCCAGCTTTTTGTAATTTGCTCCTTCACTCGAGCGAGATTTCTTGCGCTTGAGCGAGCTTTTTGTAATTTTCTCATTTGCTCGAGCGAGGTTTCTTGTGCTCGAGCGAGAATTAGGAGTTCTCAGGTTTTCTTCCAAACGCAACTTTTCTGGAAAATATGAAGTTTTTCGCTCGAGCAAGCGTTCTTTCGCTCGAGCGAGCCTTGTGTTAATTGTTTCTACGCTCGAGCGAGGCTTCTTGTGCTCGAGTGAGCGTGTACGTCTGTGGCAAACCTGAAGCTTTGCATTGTGCGCTCGAGTGAGTTCACTTGCTATGTCTGGTCGCTCGAGCGACAACTCCTTCACTCGAGCGAAGACCTCGTATATCAGTTCGCAGTAGAGATATTTTGTATCACATCTTCTTTTTCCCTAAGAACCCTAACCCGTCTCTCTCTCTCTCTAAAACTCTCTCATTCACTCTATAAATACACCTTGATTTGAGGGTCTCTCAACCATAGTCCCTTTATTAAAAAAATAGAGCACCTTGAGGGCTCTATGTTGATTCGAATAGATCGTGGTTTCGGCTTGTTTGAAGTGTCTCCATCTTCTCCTTTGGTCTCTTAACGTTGAGGCAGGGATATTCTACATTTTGTTATGAATTTTAACCTAGTTATTTGTTGTTATGAATATATGGTGAGATCTGGGATGTTTGAAGGAAATCTAGGGTTTAGATTCAAATTTATGAAGAGGGGTTTTCATGTGTTGTTGCATATTTGATCATG